CTCAAGAATACCTGGAGTTGTGAGGCCACTACGCTTTCCATGACTTTGCCCAAAAAGGGGAGATTGGAAACTGGCCGAAAGTTGTCAAATCTAGTGGGATCCAGTGATGGTTTTTTCAACAGCGGTTTTATGATAGCTTGTTTTAAGCTCGCTGGAATCTTGCCTTCCCAAAGGGAGGCGTTAACCACCACCGTTACCCACTCAGCCAATCCCCCTCTGGCCTCCTTCAGAAGCCAGGATGGGCAGGGGTCTAGGATGGACGTGGTGGGCCTCAGTCCTCCAAGTATCTTGTCCACATCCTCGGGTTTCACAAACTGAAAAGAATCCATCAAAATAGGACAAGCAGGTGCTCGTGTCACATCCTCAGAGACTGCATTTAACATGGTGTCCAGCCCAGAACGGATCAAAGCGACTTTGTCTGCAAAAAACCGAGCAAATGCTTCGCAGCGCGTGACCGAGTTGTCAGGGCTCCCGCCTGAGGTGGCGGGAGTTAAAAGACCTCTGACAATCCGGAACAACTCCGCCGGACGGTTTTTTGCAGACGCAATAGTGGCCGCAAAGAAACTTTTCTTTGCGGCTTTTATTGCCGCGGCATATGCCCTTAAGAAGGACACAAACCGTGCTCGATTTGGCTCGCTTGGGTCCGAACGCCACACGCTCTCTAGTTCCCTCTTCCTTCGCTTCATCACTGCCAACTCCTCGGTAAACCAAGGAGCTGGTTTAGCTCGGCTACTTGAGAGGGGACGTTCCGGAGCGATCACGTCAATTGCCCTGGCCATCTCCCCATTCCAGAGAGCGACCAAGGCCTCGACATGGTCACCTGCCGCGGAGGCGGGAAAATCCCCAAGAGGTAACTTAAAAGGGTCCTTTAGAATGAAGTCTTTTACTCACGTCCATGTTGCAGGAACTCTCATGGCTGAATGAATAGAAAAGAGGAAGTTCTCCCCTCTTGCAGGAAGAGGTGGAGCCAAACAGTACTGATTGACAGCTACAAGCAACCAATCCATACAACTATACATAAGCAGGGTAAAAAGGGGCAGGATTAAGCATGATACAACAGTTTAAATCTTACAACTAACAGTTCTATACATAGGTGGCGCCACTCGCGCCGTCACAATACTAATATATTACTTATAATACTATTGATAATATAAAATCTTATCTTAATTTGGACCTTATTCTAAACCCAGTTGTGTGTGCTGCCACCTGGTGGGCAGAAAGGGGAATTTCAAATCCTGATTTGCACAGCAAGATCATTTCATAGACTTTCAAAGGGGGACGCTAAAGGCCATCTAATCCAAGCCCATCCTGCCAGGTAAGGAGACACGATTTCTGAAAAATGGCCATCCAAATACAGTTTAACGAGGAGAACTGCAACACAACATCTTCCTCAGTTGAACAGTTCTTACCTTCAGGACGTCCTTCCTAATATTTTTGGTGGAATCTACAGATAATTTGAGCCCATTCATGTCATAATTTCTGAAGCAGTAGAAAATTTCAAGTTGTTTGTTCATTTGTGGACTTTACAGAGTCCGAAATACAGCATTGAATTCATCGCTGGTCTCCCATCCAAGTCCCAACCATGGCTGACCCTGCTTAGCATCCGAGATCAGATGGATGGACAGCTGGAGAAGATGCAGGCAATGGGTCTCCGTTCGGTACTGGAAATGATGGAATAACAGGAACGTCGGAGGCTGGTTGAGGACGATGGGACTTGGGGAAACTAGAGAGCGCCAAGGAGTCGGGGACAATGGGTTTGTGGGTCGGGTCCCAGATGTCGACCAAAGGCGAACAGACAGCGCTTCCCATCATTAGTAGCCAAGGTGCAGCAAAAGCAGAGGTGCTTTCTGCCTGAAAGCCAATTATTATTATTATTATTATTATTATTATTATTATTATTATTGTTGTTGTTGTTTGTATGTTGTGCTCCACCTGAGTTCCCTTTAGGGTGAGAAGAGTGGAATATATATGCTTTTATGTGTATATGTATATGTATGTATGTAGGTATATATATGTGTGTGTGTGAGTGTGTATGTATGTGTATATCTGAACATCTGAACATTAGGAAAAACTTCCTGACTGTGAGAGCCGTTCAGCAGTGGAACTCTCTGCCCCGGAGTGTGGTGGAGGCTCCTTCTTTGGAAGCTTTTAAGCAGAGCCTGGATGGCCATTTGTCAGGGGTGATTTGAATGCAATATTCCTGCTTCTTGGCAGGGGGTTGGACTGGATGACCCATGAGGTCTCTTCCAACTCTTTGATTCTATGATTCTATGATTCTATATGTGTGTGTGTATATATATATATACTAATAAATATAATATTTATTAGTGGTGGCAGCAGTATTATTATTAGTAGAGATATTATTTTTATTATTGTTGGGTGGAATTAGTAATATATATATATATATATATATATATATATATATAGTATTATTATATTTATATTTTATAAATAAATATAATATAAATATAATATTTATAAAATATAAATATAAAAATACTATATATATATATATATATATATATATTTATATATATATAATACTAATTCTACCTAACAATAATAAAAATAATATATCTACTAATGATACTACTGCTGCCACTACTAACAATAATAATAGCTCATACTAATAATAGTAACACTAATATTGCTACTACTACTACTACTAATAATAATTATTACAATGTTAAGTGCTACTACTCCCTAATGACATTAGCAATAACAGTAATAATAAGTCTATTGGATATGAATTATACAAATACTTCTGCTATTGCTATTGCTTATAATAGCAATACGTAGCAATAACTGTAATAATACCTATGGAGAACAAAGGTAAGGAAGGCAAAGGCCTCTTACCTGTCCAGGTCGATCATCCCATTGCAGTTCCTTTCTTTTTTTTCTTTTTTTCTTTTTTTCTTTTTTTTTTGCCTTGGCTTCCTTTCACAGCTTCGTAATTCAATCCAGGTTTGAAGAGCTCACCTTTCTGGAAAAAAACAGACATAGCGCATAGCATAAGCCATTAACTCTTACACGTCGGCTTCGAATGCCGTTCGGTCCCACGCAGTAGAGCCTTGGAGTTGTCGTTTCAAAAGGCCTCTGCAAACTACAATGCTCAGCATCCCAAAGCACTAAGCCGTGGCAGTTGAAGTGGTATCAAAATGCATCAGTTGTATTATCTAGATGCAGCTATAAGCCAGAAAGGGAACCACTAGAGGCCATCTAGTCCAACCCACTTCTCAATATAAGATCTCTAGAGTGGTATCAAACTATGTTAATTCAGCAATGTAGATGCACTTATGGTCCTTTGAGGCCATCTAGTCCAACCCAATTCTTTATGTAAGACCTCCAACTAAACATGGCTGAAAAACATGGTGTTGATCCAACATATAAGCTTGAAAGGGGTCCTTCGAGGGCATCTATTCTAACCCATGTAAGATCTTTAAGTAAACACGGCTGTTAAAGTGGTATAAAATTAATTCGGCAATATACATGCACTTATAAGCTTGAAAGGGGCAATTAGAGGCCATCTAGTCCAACCTAATTCTCAACGTAAGATCAATGTAACTAAATATGACGGTTAAAGTGGCACTGTTGAACATGGCCCCCCAACCCTCTGGGCCAACACGGTGGCCATTTGGGCCACCTGACCCTCCTGGCCCCAAAGCCCTTTATAGCCCTCATAACAAGCTTATTCTCTCCCTCTCCCCCATACTAACCACCCTTTGGTTGTCCCGAACCCCTTCGCTAACCTCCACCACTGTGTTCCCTTGCCGTGATCCCCTGGTATCCACAGATCCCTATTTTCCCCATTTAATATGTAAATTTTATATTTATCTGTATAGAAACATAGAAATATAGAGTACAAAGCCACTGATGCAGACCTCATGACCCAGGAAACTCCCTCCTCCCTCCTGACAGTTCGAAGCCAAGTCAGGGTGAGCTCCTGACCTTGAGTCCAGCTCCACCGCCCATAGAGCACATCAACCTGTCCCCTGATCTGCCATAAGGGAGCAGAAATCTGCATCGGAAGCGGGGAATGCTCTCCGATTGGATGGCGGGCACTGCAGTCCTGCCTCTCCAAGGGAATCCCTCCCAGCTGATCGTGATGTTGATGCAGCTCAGCTAATCACAGCAAGTGGGAATGTCAAAGGACTGTATAAAAATGTGTGTTTCTCCATGTTATGACACATCAGCTTCCTTTGGCAGATTACCGCAAGCTGGCATCACTTGAATAACCCCCCTCGGTGGCTTCTTCAACTTGGTGAGATGTATTGATTGGGTAGCTTTGTTTTGCTAGGCACATGGACCTACAGGGCAGCCAAACAGCCTACTGAAATCGAGCAATTTCGTTATCCGCGGCCCGGATAGTGAGATCCGAGCCGCGGATAACGAAAACCTGAAGGTTTTCATTATCCGCGGCTCAGATCTCACTATTCGGGCCGCGGATAACAAAATTGCTCGATTTCAGTAGGCTGTTAGGAATGTCCAAAACACCTGGAGGGCCCAAGTTGGCCCATGCCTGGCCTAGTCCCACCCAAATCTCAACGTATGCTCTCTAACTTCTAATCTCCATTGAAAATGGGAAGCTTCTGCTGCTTGAACCTCGGTTGAACTTCTCCCTTCCTAGAAGGGTATAAACACCTCACGGATTACAGTTGTGAATATATAATGAAACCACGTCTAGACTGCAAATCCCACTGAGTCATCAGGCCAGGCCTCCAGGCTTGGCTCTGCCCGTTGAAACCTGCAGCTTCTGGATTTAAGAGGGTTGAAAAAAAATTTGAATAAATCTGTGCATAATTGAGCTGGTTGTACGTGCAGGTGCCACTACTACATTTTGAGAAAATACCTTCCACAGATACAGTGGCGTGATGCTGCGGCAAAAAGGGGGAATGCGATTGCAACCCCAAGGTTGACCCTCAGAGATTATTTGCGCTTCAGGGGTTTAACTCTGGCTGCATCCATATTGTAAATTTAAGACGGTTAGACCACATTTGGGGAAGAAAGGTGCTGCTTCCCCAGCCTTTAAGAGACTTCAGTTGCCCTTCAACAATAGACTTGCCCTCGACCAAAATGGCGGAGCTGCTTCCCCAGCATTTAACAAGAGGCTGGAGATGCCCTCGACCAAGATGGTGCCGCATTTAAGCCACGTCAGTTGCCCTTGAGCAAGATGGCGGCCCTGCTTCCTCAGCATTTAAGACTTTAGTTGCCCTTGAGCAAGATGGCGGCGCTGCTTCCTCAGCGTTTAAGAGACTTTAGTTGCCCTCGACCAAGATGGCGGCACTGCTTTCTCAGCATTTACAGTAAGAGATGTGTTGCCCGGCATTTAAAATACTTCAGTTGCCCTTGAGCAAGATGGCGGCTCTGCTTCCTTAGCACTTACGCTAAGAGACTTGTTGCCTTGCATTTAAAATACTTTAGTTGCCCTAGAGCAAGATGGCGGCTCTGCTTCATCAGCATTTAAGATACTCCAGTTGCCCTCGACCAAGATGGCGGCGCTGCTTTCTCGGCATTGACAGTAAGAGACTTGTTGCCCGGCATTTAAAATACTTCAGTCGCCCTTGAGCAAGATGGCGGCGCTGCTCCCTCAGCATTTAAGATACTCCAGTTGCCCTCGACCAAGATGGCGGCGCTGCTTTCTCGGCATTGACAGTAAGAGACTTGTTGCCCGGCATTTAAAATACTTCAGTTGCCCTTGAGTAAGATGGCAGCGCTGTTTCCTCAGCATTTGAGACTCCAGTTGCCCTCGACCAAGATGGCGGCACTGCTTTCCTCAGCATTTAAAATACTTCAGTTGCCCTTGACCAAGATGGCGGCGCTGCTTCCTCAGCATTGACAGTAAGAGACGTGTTGCCCGGCATTTAAAATACTTCAGTTGCCCTTGAGCAAGATGGCGGCGCTGCTTCATCAGCATTTAAGTCACTTTAATTGCCCTCGACCAAGATGGCGGCCCTGCTTCCTCAGCATTGACAGTAAGAGACGTGTTGCCCGGCATTTAAAATACTTCAGTTGCCCTTGAGCAAGATGGCGGCGCTGCTTCATCAGCATTTAAGTCACTTTAATTGCCCTCGACCAAGATGGCGGCCCTGCTTCCTCAGCATTGACAGTAAGAGACGTGTTGCCCGGCATTTAAAATCCTTCAGTTGCCCTTGAGCAAGATGGCGGCGCTGCTTCCTCAGCATTTAAGAGACTTTAGTTGCCCTCGACCAAGATGGCGGCGCTGCTTGCCTAGCATTTAAGCAACTTCAGTTGCCCTTGAGTAAGATGGAGGAGCTGCTTTCTCAGCACTTAAAAGACTTTAGTTGGCCTCGACCAAGATGGCGGCGCGGCTTCCTCAGCCTTTAAAATACCTTAGTTGCCCTCGACCAAGATGGCGGCTCTACTTTCTCTAAGCTTTCGTAGGACTAAAGCCGCCCTGGAGCAAGATGGCGTGGCGGCTGCGCGTGCGCATGCGCGGGGCGGTGTGGGCAGCGCTTCCCGCCATGCCGGCCTGGGGTCTGCTGCTGCTTCTCTGCGGGGCGCGGGTGGCGTGGGCTCTGGAGCCGCTGAGCGTGGGCCTGGCCATCGGCGCGGCCTCGGCCCTGACGGGCTTCCTCTCCTCGCCCCGCTTCTACTGCCGCTTCGTGGAGTGCTGCCCCGCCGAGGGAGACGGGCTCAACGCCACTGGTAAGGCCCCAGGGTCAGGGTGGCCATCTCTCGGGAGGGGTTAGATTGTGCTTTCCCTGCACAATGGCAGGAGGGGTTGGACTGGATGGCCTTTGGGGTCCCTTCCAACTCTAGTATAGCCCTCTTTCTCATGAACCTTCTAATGCCTGTGAGGCTGGATGGCCATCTGTCTGGAGGGATTAGATTGTGCAATTCCTGCATAATGGCAGGAGGGGGTTGGACTGAAAGGCGCTTGGGGTTCCTTCCAAACTCCATGACTCTTTATCTATAGCCCTATAGCTTTCATATACCTTATAATTACTGTGAGACTGGATGGCCATCCGTAGGGTGTGGTTTGATGGTGCTTTTCCTTTGTGGCAGAAGGAAGTTGGACTGGATGGCTTTTGGGGTCCCATCTAACTCTAGGATTCGATAGTCCTCTTTCTCATTAACCTTCTGATGCCTATGAGGCTGGATGGCCATCTGTCGGGAGGAGTTAGATTGTGCTTTTCCTGCATAATGGCAGGAGGGGGTTGGACTGGATGGCCCTTGGGGACCCTTCCAACTCAATGACTCTTATCTGGATGGCTTTTGAGGTCCCTTCCAACTCTATGGTTCGATAGCCCTCATTCTTATAAACCTACTGTTGCCTATGAGGCTGGATGGCCATCTCTCGGGAGGGATTAGATTGTGCTTTTCCTGCAGAATGGTAGGAGGTGGTTGGATGTCCTTTGAGGTCCCATCCAACTCTATGGTTTGATAGCCCTCATTCTTATGAACCTATTGATGGCTATGAGGCTGGATGGCCATCTCTCAGGAGGGATTAGATTGTGCTATTCCTGCATAATGGCAGAAGGAGGTTGGACTGGATGGCCTTTGAGATCCCTTCCAATTCTATGGTTCGATAGCCCTCATTCTTATGAACGTACTGATGCCTATGAGGCTGGATGGCCATCTCTCGGGAGGGATTAGATTGCATATACCTTATAATTACTGTGAGACTGGATGGCCATCCGTAGGGTGTGGTTTGATGGTGCCTTTCCTTCCTTTCCCTTTGGGGTCCCCTCGAATTCTAGGATTCTATAGCCCTCTTTCTCATGAACCTTCTGATGCCTATGAGGCTGGATGGCCATCTGTCAGGAGGGATTAGATTGTGCTATTCCTGCATAATGGCAGAAGGGGGTTGGACTGGATGGCCTTTGGGTGTCCCTTCCAACAGTGATTCTATAACCCTCCTTCTCGTGGACCTGCTGATGTCTATGACACTGGATGGACATCTGTCGGGAGGGATTAGATTGTGCTATTCCTGCATAATGGCAGGAGGGGGTTGGATTAGATGGCCTTCGGGGGTCCCTTCTGACAGTAATTCTATAGCCCTCCTTCTCGATGTCTATGACACTGAATGGTCATCTGTCAAGAGGGATTGGATTGTGCTTTTCATTTATGACAAAAGGGAGTTGGACAAGATGGCCTTTGGGGTCCCTTCCAACTCTAGGATTCTATAGCCCTCTTTCTCATGAACCTTCTCATGCCTATGAGGCTGGATGGCCATCTGTCGGGAGGGATTAGATTGTGCTATTCCTGCATAATGGCAGAAGGGGGTTGGATTAGATGGCCTTTGGTGGGTCCCTTCCAACAGTGCTTCTATAGCTCTCCTTCTTGTGAATTTGCCGATGTCTATGACATTGAATGGCCATCTGTCGGGAGGGATTGGATTGTGCTTTTCTTTTATGACAGAAGGGGGTTGGACAAGATGGCTTTTGGGGTCCCTTCCAACTCTTATGTTTCTGTAGCCCTCCTTCTTATGAACCCGTGAGGCGGTGTGGCCATCTGTCGGGAGGGATCGGATGGTGCCTTTCCTACATAATGGGGGAAGGGGTGGGACTGGAGGGTGTTGTCCTCACTGCCTCTCTCTTGCAGCGCTGCGCCTGTCCTTGGAGAAGAGGCTCTTTGGTCAGCACCTGGCCTCGGAGGTGGTCCTGAAGGCGGTCTCGGGCTTTGTCCAGAACCCGGAGCCCAAGAAGCCGCTGGCGCTCTCCCTCCACGGCTGGGCCGGCACTGGCAAGAACCTGCTCAGCCAGATCCTGGCAGAGAACCTCCACCCGCGGGGCTTGCGCAGCGCCTTCGTCCACCTCTTCCTGGCCACCCTCCACTTCCCCCACCAGCACCAGGTCAAGCTCTACAAGGTGGGTAGGGTGGGGCAGAGAAAGAGAGACGTAGTTGCACCCCACAGCTCCGGCCTTCTCTCCTCGGGACTAGACGGGCATCCCGGTTACGGCCCCGTAGAACTCACCCATAGTAGGTAAACTCGAGGCAGGCCAGACTAACATTAACAACAACAACAACAACAACAACAGCAACAATAATGGGATCCTGGGAGTTCTAGTTCGACAAGGCCCTTTGAGCCTCCCCTGCCAGAGAGTGCTGGGACCAACAAAATAACAAATCCCACATCTATGGAGTTCTATCTACCCCAGCACTGAGGCAGGTGGTGGTGGTAATAATAATAATAATAATAATAATAATAATAATAATAATAATAGGATTCTGGGAGTTCTAGTTTGACAAGGCCCTTTGAGTTCTATGGCAGTTAAACTATGTGCCCCATCTTGAGGCAGGTCAGACTAATAATAATAATAATAATAATAATAATAATAATAATAATAATAATAATAATAATAATGGGATTCTGGGAGTTCTAGTTTGACAAGGCCCTTTGAGCTCTATGGCAGTTAAACTATGTGCCCCATCTTGAGGCAGGTCAGACTAATAATAATAATAATAATAATAATAGGATTCTGGGAGTTCTAGTTTGACAAGGCCCTTTGAGCCTCCCCTGCCAGAGAGTGCTGGGACTGACAAAATGACAAATCCCAAATCTATGGAGTTCTATTTACCCCAGCTTGAGGCATAATAGTAATAATAGTAATAATAATAATAATAATAGGATTCTGGGAGTTCTAGTTTGACAAGGCCCTTTGAGTTTCCCCGGCCAGAGAGTACTGGGACCTACAAAATGATAAATCCCAAATCTATGGCGTTCTATATACCCCAACTAGAGGCATAATAATAATAATAATAATAATAATAATAATAATAATAATAATAATAATAATAATAATTGAATCCTGGGAGTTCTAGTTTGACAAGGCCCTTTGAGCTTCCCTTGCCAGAGAGTGCTGGGACCAACAAAATAACAAATCCCACATCTATGGAGTTCTATCTACCCCAGCACTGAGGCAGGTGGTGGTGGTAATAATAATAATAATAATAATAATAATAATAATAATAATAATAGGATTCTGGGAGTTCTAGTTTGACAAGGCCCTTTGAGTTCTATGGCAGTTAAACTATGTGCCCCATCTTGAGGCAGGTCAGACTAATAATAATAATAATAATAATAATAATAATAATAATAATAATAATGGAATCCTGGGAGTACTGACATAATAACAAGTCCCAAATCTATGTAGCTCTATCTACCCCAACTTGAGGCATAAGAATAAGAATAATGGGATCCTGGGAGTTCTCGTTTGACAAGGCCTTTTGAGCCTCCCCTGCCATAGAGTGCTGGGACCGACAAAATGACAAACCCCAAATCTATGACGTTCTATATACCTCAACTTAAGGCATAATAATAATAATAATAATAATAATAATAATAATAATAATAATAAGATTCTGGGAGTTCTAGTTTGACAAGGCCCTTTGAGTCTCCCCTGCCAGAGAGTGCTGGGACCGAGAAAATGACAAACCCCAAATCTATGGAGTTCTATCTACCCCAACTTGAGGCAGGTGGCAATAATAATAATAATAATAATAATAATAATAATAATAATAGGATTCTGGGAGTTCTAGTTTGACAAGGCCCTTTGAGTTTCCCCAGCCAGAGAGTACTGGGACCTACAAAATGACAAACCCCAAATCTATGGAGTTCTATCTACCCCAGCTTGAGGCAGGTAATAATAATAATTATAATAATGGGATTTTGGGAGTTCTAGTTTGACAAGACTCTTTGAGCCTCCCCTGCCAGAGATTGCTGTGACCTACAAAATGACAAATCCCGGGGTTTCACAGAACTAATTTATGGAGTCTTATATACCCCAACTTGAGGCAGGTGAAAAAAAATAGGATCCTGGGAGTTCTAGTTTGACAAGCCCCTTTGAGATTTCTCTACAAGTCTCAGGTTCTGTAGAACTGACTCTATGGCAGCTAAACTATGTGCCCCATCTTGAGGCAGGTCAGACTAATAATAATAGTAATAATAATAATAATAATAATAATAATAATAATAATGGAATCCTGGGAATTCTAGTTTGACAAGGCCCTTTGAACTCCCTCTGCCAGAGATTGCTGGGACCTACAAAATTACAAATCCCATGGTCTCATAGAATTGATCCCTGGCTGCTAAACTATGTGCCCCACCTTCAGGCAGAATAATAATAATAATACTAATAATAATAATAATAATAATAATAGAAAAGAACACGTGGTCTGCAGCCTGTTCTATAACTTCTCAGGAACCTTAGAGTAAAGGAAGCTGCATACCAGAACATACATAGAGGAAACAGTAAGCAGCCTGTTCTATAACTTCTCAGGAACCATAGAGTAAAGGAAGCTGCATACCAGAACATACATACAGGAAACAGTAAGCATAGTAACAGTAAACAGGAAACAGTAAGATCATAGATAAACGTTATTAGAGAAGGCTTGAGGAAGGTTGTCATTCCCAACCATTTTTGAAACATGGCTCCTCTTGTGTCTTCTCCACCTTCAGGACCAGTTGCAGCGATGGATCCGGGGCAACGTCAGCGCCTGCGCGAGGTCCGTCTTCATCTTCGACGAAATGGACAAGCTCCACCCGGGGATCCTCGACGCCATCAAGCCCTTCCTCGACTATTACGACAACATCGATGGCGTCTCCTACCGGAAGGCCATCTTCCTCTTCCTCAGGTCGGTATGGTCCACACTGTCGGACGCATGTGGCTCGACGCCACTTGAGCTGCTGTGGTGCAAGGCTCTCTAATATTTCGCTTTTCCTCCTCTAGTAACGCAGGGGGAGACCTCATCACCAAAGTGGCCCTCGACTTCTGGCGGAGAGGCGAAGTGAGAGAAAAGATCCAGCTCAGGGATCTAGAGTCTGTGCTATCCGTCGGCGCTTTCAACAACAAGAACAGTGAGCCGGAAATAATATCATTGTCGACTTAAAATATGCCGTGTTTCATCGCATAATAGTCACACACCCCTTTCCCCATAAAAAAAGGTGAGACTATTACGCGAGGAAAATAGTCACACCCCTTTCCCCATCAAAAAAAGGGGCTGAGACTATTACGCGAGGAAAATAGTCACACACACCTTTCCCCATCAAAAAAAGGGGTGAGACTATTACACGAGGAAAATAGTCACACACCCCTTTCCCCATCAAAAAAAGGTGAGACCATTACGCGAGGAAAATAGTCACACACCCCTTTCCCCATCAAAAAAAGGGGGTGAGACTATTATGCGAGGAAACTAGTCACACACCCCTTTCCCCATCAAAAAAGGGGTGAGACTATTACGCAAGGAAAAATATATTTTTTTTGCCAAATGTTCTGTTCCTGGTTTGAAAGTGCTCTTTCCTGTTTAATTGAGTGGTACATACTGGTGGCGCAGTGGGTTAAACCGCTGAGCTGCTGAATTCAAAGGCTAGCGGTTTGAATCTGGGGAGTGGGGTGAGCTCTCGCTGCTAGCCCCAGCTTCTGCCAACCTAGCAGTTCAAAAACATGCAAATGTGAGTAGATCAATAGTTAATGCTTCGGCAAGACAGTAATGGCGCTCCATGCAGTCATGCCAGCCACATGATCTTGGAGGTGTCTTCAGAATCTGGAGGTGCTCCAGATTCGATGCTGGTTCGAATGTGGGGAGCAGGTTGAGCTCCTGCTGTTTGCTGCAGCTTCTGTCAACTTACCATTTCTGCAGGAAAGTAACTGCGTCTATGCAAAACTTAGGTCTATGAAGCACTGCTTTTCTTTCCTAAAATGGAGGTGCGACTATTATGTGAGGAAAACAAAATACAATTTTTGGCATCCCCAAACAATGGGGTGCTGCTATTATGAGGTGGTGATTATTATGCAATGAAATTGGTATTATTAGTACAATGTACAAGCTCCACTCTTCCTCCCTCCTTCCTCCAAAACCTGGATCCTCAACTCCATTCCAGGTTTTGAAAATTGCCCTCAGGCCTTGGAGGGAGGAGAGAAGAGTGGAGCTTGTAATAACATTGTACTAATAATGCCAGTTTCATTGCGTAATAGTCACCACCTCATAATAGCAGCACCCCATTGTTTGGGGATGCCAAAAATTGTATTTTTGTTTTCCTCACATAATAGTCGCACCTCCATTTGAGGCCAGTTCTTTTTTCTTTCCTTTCTTCTCCAAATCCAAGGCAATTTGGGGATGCCAAAAATTGTATTTTTCTTTTCCTCACATAATAGTCGCACCTCCATTTGAGGCCAGTTCTTCCTTCTTTCCTTTCTTCTCCAAATCCAAGGCAATTTGGGGATGCCAAAAATTGTATTTTTGTTTTCCTCACATAATAGTCGCATCTCCATTTGAGGCCAGTTCTTTCTTCCTTCCTTTTTTCTCCAAATCCAAGGCAATTTAGACACTGAAACTGAGTTCTCTAAAACTTCACATTCTTATTTTCTCCCGGATTCCTGAATTCTCTTTCTGAATGGTCAACGCTGTCTTATTTCGACCAGGTGGCCTCTGGCACAGCAGCCTCATTGACCGGAACCTCATCGACTATTACGTGCCCTTCCTGCCCTTGGAGTACAAACACGTCAAGATGTGCGTCCGGGCAGAGATGGCCTCCCGCGGCCTCCGGGTTGACGAAGAAGTCGTCCGAAATGTCGCCGATGAGATGACCTTCTTCCCCAAAGACGAGCGGATCTTCTCCGACAAGGGCTGCAAGACGGTGCAGACCAAGCTGGACTTCTACTGAAGGCAGGTCTCAGGACGAGGAGTTTCCCCAAAAGGTCGCACTTTCCCATCCAAGAGAAATCAACGGACCTTTCGGGTTTTTTTAGGGTCGCCCTTTGGTCTCAAATATGGTCTTTCGTGCTATAGAAATCCTTGGTAAACATTGACAATCAAAACTACTGATCGATCGGCAGGACTATGAGTCCCAGCAGGCTTGTCCAGCTCACCCAATGATTGGGGGTTGGAGTCCAGTTACTTCTGTATTGCAAGATCTGACTGGTAATCAAAAAGGACTGATAGAATGGTGTGATTACAAGTTCCAGCAGGCTTATACAGCTTACCCAATGGTCAGGCATGCTGGGAGTTGGAGTCCAGTAACTTCTGTATTGCAAGATCTGGCTGGGAACAAAAAGGACTGATAGATCAATGGGACTACAAGTCCCAGCAGGCTTATCCAGCTCACCCAATGGTCAGGCATGCTGGGAGTTAGAGTCCAGTGACTTCTGTAGTGCAAAATCTGGCTGGGAATCAAAAAAGGACTGATAGCTCAATGGGACTACAAGTCCCAGCAGGCTTATCCCACTCACCCAATAACAAATCATGCTGGGAGTTAGAGTCCAGTGACTTCTGTATTGCAAGATCTGGCTGGGAATCAAAAAGGACTGATAAATCAATGGAACTACAAGTCCCAGCAGGCTTATCCAGCTCACCCAATAACAAATCATGCTGGGAGTTTGAGTTCAGTGACTTCTGTATTGCAAGATTTGGCTGGGAATAAAAAAGGACTGATAAATCAATGGGACATAGATTGGCAGGACTACAAATCCCAGCAGGCTTATCCAGCTCACCCAATGGTCAGGCATGCTAGGAGTTGGAGTCCAATTACTTTTGTAGTGCAATATCTAACTGGGAATAAAAAAGGACTGATAGATCGGCGGGACTACAAGTCCTAGCAGCCTTATCCAGCTCACCCAATAGCAAAGCATCCTGGGAGTTGGAGTCCAATGGTTTCTTTATTGTAAAATCTGGCTGGCAATCAAAAACAACTGATGAATCAGTGGGACTAAAAATCCCAGCAGGCTTACACAGCTCACCCCGTGGCGAGGCATGCTGGGAGTTGGAGTCCAATAGCTTCTGGATACAAAAATTATATATTTTTAGTTGTTGTTCTGGATCCTATTACCGGTTCTGAATAGGAAGAACGGTGTTTCCCCATTCATTGCTATTTGACCCAGAACCTCGCCATGATATGGAACAGATTTATCAGAGTCGCTGGTATTGAGGGTTTCCCGTAAATGGAGGAAAGCGGAGGGGAATTGTAGACTATTCTGGCTGCGTCTCCGTATCCGGATTCAAAACGGCGACGTTTCCCACAACCGAAGCCATGGCTTCGCATCCGTCAACAGGATATATCTGTTTGCAATTTCCTTCCGCTCCTCCAGACACAGAATGACCTCCAAGGGGTCAACATGGGAAGGAAAGGAACGCCAATATCTAACAAAACAGAAGTCAATGGATAACTCAATAAATTGATTCCAGTTGGGACCAAAACTCAAGATAGATCTGGAGTGCCTTATTCGGTTGGTGAGGAATTGTGCATAATAGAGGCCTTTGCAAGGGGTTGCCTTTGGAATATAATATATATGATATTTTATATATATATGAGCCCTCCAGTCCCTAAACACTAGATTTTCATAGGATTCTTTGGCTGCAATATGGCCTCGAGGTGGTGTAAATATCTGAATAGTGGTCAACGATTGTGTAACATGAAATATGTCTTCTGGTGGTCTTTGGTGACCCCTCTGAAACCCAATCACGACCCCCAGGTTGAGAAACACCGCCATAAATGGAGGTCAAGGGGAGGGAAGGTTGACCTAGGGAGGGAAGGGTGGAGTGGCCCCTCCATGGCCCAATCCCAGAGAGAAAGAGAAGGAACAAGGTAAATACATCCTGGATATCAGATGTTTACATTATGACTCATAACAGTAGCCAAATGACAACAATTAAAATAATTTTACGGTTAGGAATCACAACATGAGGAACTGTATTAAGAGGTCGTGGCATCCGGAAGGTCGAGAACCACTGCTGTATAAAGAATGTATTTCTATATATTTGAGAACAGGAATGACAAGAGATCAATGTATAAATGGGATTGATTGGGCCATCTGTTTCATGGGCAGAGTCTGTTTACATTGAACCGCTTTGGAGCCAAGGAATGCGAGAATGTGATTGTGAATTAATTCATTTTGAATATGCTTTAAATAATATTTTACTTGGGGGGGAAAAGGTCATTTTACTTGTCCCATTGTTGCATTTTTCATCCCTTCTGTTGTCTGAATGCGAGAAATGTGCCTGGATTGTGGATTGTCTCCCGATGGCTTCAATAAAAGGAATATGTGTTTGGAAATCTCAGGTGTTTTTTAAAGGGGGAAAAATGGCTAAGAAGGACACACAAGGAAACAACCCTTTTGCAAGGCTTTATTGGCATGTGTGTGTGTATGTACACACACACACACGCGCTAGCTGTATCCGCCACGCCTTGCTATGGCCAACCTTCCTTCCCTCTTTCTCTCCTTTCCTTCCTTCCTTCCCTCTTTTTCTTTCACTTCTTTCTTCCTTCTCTAGCTGTTTCTTTTCTCGCTTCCTTTGCTCTTTGATTCCATCCTGTCTTGTCTCTTTCCTTCCTTCCCTCCCTTTCTTTCGTTCCTTCTCTCCTTCCTTCCCTCTTTCACTTTTTTATTTCATTCTCCCCCTCCTTCTCTCCTTCCTTCCTTCTCTACCCTTGTCTTTCCTCCTTCCCTCCTTCTTTCCCTCCTTCTCTCCTTCCTTCCTTCTCTACCCTTCTGTCTTTCCTTCTTTATCTCCTTCCCTCCTTCTTTCCCTCCTTCTCTCCTCCCTCCCTTCTCTACCCTTCTGTCTTTCCTCCTTCCCTCCTTCTTTCCCTCCTTCTCTCCTCCCTTCCTTCTCTACCCTTCTTTAATTCCTTCCTTCTCTCCTTCTTTCCCTTTTCTCTCCCTCTTTCTCTTCCTCTCCCTCCTTCCTTCTCCACCCTTCTTTCCTTCTTTCTCTCCTTCCCCCCTTCTTTCCCTTCTTCTCTCCCTCCTTCCTTCTCTACCCTTCTTTCTTTCCTTCTCTCCTTCCCTCTTTCTCTCCTCCTCTACCCTTCTTTTTTCCTTCCTTCTCTCCTTCTTTCCCTTCTTCACTCCCTCTTTCTCCTCTTCTTTCTCTCCCTCCTTTCTTCTCTACCCTTCTTTCTTTCCTTCCTGCTCTTGTTCCACCCCTCCTTCTCTCCTTTCCTTCATCCTTTCTGTGTATGTGTTTTGTGTGTGTGTATGCATATGTGTGTGTATATATGTGTGTTTGTGTATATATATGTGGTTTTGCGCATGCATTGGAATGTTTGGGGTTTTTTTGTGTTTTTTTGCTTTTAAGTCCCCTTTGCTGTGTTTTCCAGTGTTTTTATGAGTGCTGGTCACTCGTTGGCCTGAGAGGTGTCTTGTGTCCAAATTTGGTGTCCATTCGCCCAGTGGGTTTTGAGTTCTGTTAATCCCACAAACATTACATTTTTATTTATATAGATGTGGGCCCTGGTGGCACAGTAGGTTAAACTGCTGTACTCGTTGATCGAAAAGTCACAGGTTCGAATCCAGGTAGCAGCGTGAGCTCCCGCTGTTAGTCCCAGCTTCTGCCAACCTAGCAGTTTGAAAACATGCAAATGTGAGTAGATCAGTAGGGACTGCTCTGGCAGAAGGCATGCCCTGAGTTATGCCGGCCATGTGACCTTGGAGGTGTCTAGGGACAGTGCCGGCTCTTCGGCTTAGAAATGGAGATGAACACCAACCTCCAGAGTTGGACACGACTGGACTTAATGTCAGGGGAAAACCTTTACCATATATCTATCTATCTATCTATCTATCTATCTATCTATCTATCTATCTATCTATCTATCTATCTATCTATCTATAATATAAAATATTATACATATACATATCTATATTATATTATATAAAATATTATACACACACACACACACACACACACACACATATATACAGGTGCTAGCTTGGGTACCCAGTGTTGGAAAAGTCAATTTTTAATAATCCAAAATGCATAAGCCTGTGTGTGAACTACAACTCACATCATGCCAGGTTAACCCCTGAAACTCCATAATAACAACAACACTTGGGAAGTGTTCGACTTGTGACTTTGTGATACAAAATCCAGCATATATATCTCATTTGCTGTGACATACTGTGTTTTTGTGTTAGTAAAATAATAATAATAATAATAATAATAATAATAATAATGATAATGATAATGATAATAATTAAAAAACACCATCCGTACTTACATTTTGTCATTTTGGGCAAGTTTGCTTTGGATTCATTGTGGGTGGGGTTCAGTGTGCTCTCTGGCTGTAGGGTGAACTACAACTCCCACTATGGTGAGTCAGTCCCCTCAAACCCCTCCAATAAGTTAGAAGGGAAGAAGATGGGAAGGAAGGAAAGAAAGGGGGAAGAAAGGAAAGGAAGGAGGGAAGGAAAGAAGGAGGGAAAGGGGGAAAGGGAGGAGAGGAGGGAGGGAGGGAAGAAGTAAAAGTAGGAGAGAGGAAGGAAATAAAGGGGGGAAGGTGCATCTGTAATATAATATATTTTATATACATATAATATTTATAATATTATAATGTAACACAATATAATGCTAATAACATAATATTATAATTATATATTTTATATTACATGTAATATCACTAATATTACAATATAATGGTATAGTAATATATAATACTGATATTGTACTATGCGAATAATATAATATATTGTATGCATATATATCTTGTAAGCCGCTCTGAGTCCCCTTCGGGGTGAGAAGGGTGGCATAGAGATATTGTAAATAAATAAATAAATCTGAGGCTCAAATGGAAGGGCAGAATACCAAGAGTGCGCAATGCTTGATGTGTCTGCCAGACATTGGAGTCCTGGGCAGAGAGATGCCCCATAGGCGTCAATGGAGGGGCAGAATACCAAGGGGCGCAATGCTTGGTGTGTCCACAGGAGGGCGGCAAAGGATTACACATAGGAGTCCCAACAGAGGATTCCCCCAGGCAGGAAGCAGCCAGGCTTTGAAGCTGCAAGGCTATTAAATGCTAATCAAGGTGGCCAATTGCAACTTTCCCACTTGCCTCCAACAGACAAAGAGTTCTTTCTCCCACCCTGGGATATATAAACCACACTACCTTACTTTCCAACAGACCTCTCAACCTCTGAGGATGCCTGCCATAGATGTGGGTGAAACGTCAAGGAGAGAATGCTTCGGGAACATGGCCAGATAGTCTGGAAAACTCAGAGCAACTCTGATTCTAGCAGTGAAAGCACATTAAAGAACACCACTCAGAAAACTGGGGAATTCTAGACAAGAATCAATCGGGGCCAGCTAACACTTCCCAACAAAGGATTCCCCCAGGCAGGAAGCAGCAAGGCTTTGAAGCTAAAAGGCCATTCAGTGCTAATCAAGATGGCCAATTAAACATTTGCACTTTCTTCCAACAGACAAGAGTTCTTTCTCCCACCCTGGACATTATTCCACAGATATATAAACAGGCAGTAAGCAGCCAGGCTTTGAAGCTGCAAGACCATTCGATGCCAATCAAGGTAGCCAATTGAAACATTCATACCTACCTCCAACAGACAAGAGTTCTTTCTCCCACCCTGGACATTATTCCACAGATATAAAAACCCCTCTTGCCTAGTTCCCAGCAGACCCCACAATCTCTGATGATGCCTGCCATAGATGTGGGTGAAATGTCAGGAGAGAATGCTTCTGGCACATGGCCACACAGCCCAGAAGACTCTCAGCAATCCAGAATAACCTTTCACTTCCAGAAATAAGAGCTTGAAAGACGGATCAAAGAGACGGGATGCAAATATATATATGATATGATACATAGGATGTTTCATGTCATATTTAATTTGGAAGGAAAAATATGGTCGCCGAAACTTTCATCACTGAGAATACTTGGAATATCAGCCCCTCATAATCCGGGTGGGTAGCTTCATATATATATCCCAAAATACACTTAATATTTTATGCGTAATTTCAGGGCAAGGGAAATGCTAATTACTGGTTTCCTGAACCGAACAGCAAAAAAATACAAATCAAAAAATCCCGTTATATTATCCTTACCGACTTTGAGTGGAAATGGTCGCAAATGTCTCGAGAAAGCTGTGCAACCGTGCTGAACAATATTCTCGTCTCCCATTGATAAGATTAGAATAGTCTTTCATTAGCTGGAAAATCGCCAAATTAATTGGGAGGACTCATTGGAGTGACCAATCAGTCCTATTATGTTCCAGGTCCATAAAAAGCAAGACCCTGAGAAAATTTCAGAGTGGTTTCCCAGTACAGTACTTTTGATTATTGTTGGAATCACAAAATAGTCACATATAGATCCAGGGTTGTAGAAAACGAAACAAAACAAGGCCCCAAACGAACTCAAGCGGCTTCACAGTATCGGCACCAAGCCATAGCTTGAAACGAGGACCATGTTTTTGTCTAAAAAATCTTTAAAATGATTCGGTTTCTTCTGCAATTGGCTTCATTACAAAAACAAAAGGGTTACAAGTCGTAGTAGAAATCCAGCTTGGTGTAGACCGTCTTGCAGCCTTTGTCGGAATAGATCTTCTCCTCTTTGGGGAAGAAGGTCATCTCCTCGGCCACCCGGGTCACAATGTCCTCGTCGACCACATAGCCGCGGGATTCGAGCTCGGCCCGGATGCACATCTTGACGTGGCGGAACTCCAGGGGCAGGAAGGGCACAAAGTAGTCGATCAGGTTCCGGTCAATGAGGCTGCTGTGCCAGAACCCACCTGGGAAGGAAGCAGGGAGGGCCTCTTTTAATTAAGGGGATCCATCTACCCTCACAAAGTGCCTTCACACACACAGCAAATGAAGGCAGACATGTCTGCCCATTCAATAGAATAATAATAATAATAATAATAATAATAATAATAATAATAATAATAACAACTTTATTTATATCCCGCCCTATTATTTATTTATTTATTTAGAACTTTTATATACTGGTCTTCTCACCTTCGTAGAGGGATTCAGGCTGGTTCACAACAACAGTATCACAAACAATCGTTTAAAAACTTCACATCCCGTAATACGCTAAAAGATTAAAATACTAAAATACAATCATCTTCCCATGGGGACTCAGGGCAATTCACAACAAACAGCGGCAAATATTCAATGATGTAAAGTGCAACCAGAAATAAAACAACAATAAATCAATGAAGCATATTAAACATTATTATTATTATTATTATTATTATTATTATTATTATATAATATTATATTATATTACATAATAATAATAATAATATAAAACATATTATATTACAAACACATATTATATTATAATATAGTATAATATAAATGTATATTATGTTATATCTATATAAATAAAAATGTAATGTTCGTTTGTGGAATTAACATAACTCAAAAACCACTGAATGAATTGAAATCAAATCTGAACACAATACACCTAACAATCCAACACTGAAAAACACAGTGGAGGAGACTTAAAAAGTCAAAAAATAAAAATTACATTACAATGCATGTGCAAAACCACATATATACACATACATACACACACAAAACACATACACAGACAGGGCCACAGCAAAGCATGGCAGGGGATGGCTAGTGTGTGTATATATATGTCTGACTTGGCCATGGAAGTCTGACTTGACATATATACACATACATACACACACAAAACACATACACAGACAGGGCCACAGCAAAGCATGGCAGGGGATGGCTAGTGTGTGTATATATATGTCTGACTTGGCCATGGAAGTCTGACTTGGCCATGGTGGTACACGCTCTGGTCACATCCCGCCTTGACTACTGCAATGCTCTCTACGTGGGGCTGCCCTTGAAGACGGCCCGGAAGCTTCAGCTAGTCCAGCGCGCAGCAGCCATGTTACTAACGGGAGCGGGACGCAGGGAGCATACAACGCCCTTGCTGTCCCAGCTCCACTGGCTGCCGATTTGCTACCGGGCCCAATTTAAGGTGCTGGTGTTATCCTACAAAGCCCTAAACGGTTCCGGCCCAAAATACCTTTCGGACCGCATCTTGGCCTATGAGCCCACGAGGACCTTGAGATCGTCTGGGGAGGCCCTTCTCTCGATCCCGCCTGCTTCACAGGCACGTCTGGCGGGGACGAGAGAAAGGGCCTTCTCGGTGGTGGCCCCCCGGCTGTGGAACGACCTCCCTGCTGACATCAGACAGGCGCCTTCCCTTCTGTCCTTCCGTAAGAGCCTGAAGACCTGGCTATTTGAGAAGGCATTCAACTGAGCGCTACGGCAACTGGTAATTGACAACTGGAACGGAATACGGATTACGATATTGGTTATGATTCTATGATGTGACGGAGCGGATTATTTAGTGTAACCAGATTATAGTGTATTATTGTTGTATTGATTCCCTGTTTTGCCCTTTTTGTAAACTGTTTTTATATGTTGTGCACCGCCGCGAGTCGCCCTAGGGCTGAGAGCGGCGGTCAATAAATGCAGTAAATAAATAAATAAATAAATAAATAAATATCTATATAAATAAAAATGTAATGTTCGTTTGTGGGATTAACATAACTCAGAAACCACTGGGCAAATTGACACCAAATTTGAACACAATACACCAAACAATCCAACAAGTGTCCATCATTCATAAAAACACTGAAAAACACAGTGGAAGAGACTTAAAAAGTCAAAAATAAAAATTATATTACAACGCATGTGCAAAACCACATATATACATATATACACATACATACACACACAAAACACATACACAGACAGGGCCACATCAACGCGTGGCAGGGGATGGCTAGTGTGTGTGTGTATATATGTGTGTGTGTGTGTGTGTGTAATGTTCGTTTGTTATTAACATAACTGAAAAACCACTGGATGAATGGACACCCAATTTGGACACAATACACCTATCAGGACAACGAGTGACCATCACTCATAAAAATACTGAAAAACACAGCAGAAGAGACTTAAAAGCCAAAAAACCAAAATAATACATTACAACGCATGCGCAAAACCAAACACACACACACAAACACACATATATGCACACACAAAACACATAAACACAGACTGGGCCACAGCAACGCTTGGCAGGGGGTGCCTAGTTATATTATAAACTTGCACAACTCACTATTTTTGTTGTTGAAGACGGAGACGGAGACGGTGGTCTCCACATCTCGGAGCTCCAGGTCGGTCCTTTTCTTCCCTTTCCGCCAAAAGTCGAGCGCCACTTCGGTGATCTTCTCGGCTCCGGCATTGCTGCAAGACAGGAGGGAGGGAGGAAGGATGCAGGCGTTAAGAGGAGGCCGCTTGAAGAGACATCGCTTCCACACCACAGTTCGAGAAGCATGATTCCTGCCGCCTACCTGAGGAAGAGGAAGATGGCCTTCCGGTAGGAGACGCCGTCCAACTCGTCGTAATAGTCGAGGAAGGGCTTGATGGCGTCAATGAGCCCGGCGTGCATCTTGTCCATTTCGTCGAAGATGAAGACGGACCTCGCGCAGGCGCTCACGTTGCCCCGGATCCACATCTGCAACTGGTCCTGGAAAGGAGGTTTATTTCAAATCAGATCTGGGGTAGGTGAAGCCATCCACACTGCAGAATGAATGCGGTTTGACACTTAGTTGCACTGCCATAGCCTCTTCGGCATGAAAACGACAGGTCCCCTGATTCTATACCAAAGGAACATGGCCAGACAGCCAAGAAAACTCATAGTAACCCAATAATAATAATAATAATAATAATAATAATAATAATAATAATAATAATAATAATAATAATAATAAACAATTGGAAAAGCTGAGACGATATGAGGATTTAAGGATCGAACTGCAAAGACTCTGGCACAAGCCAGTCAAGGTAGTCCCAATGGTGATCGGCACACTGGGTGCAGTGCCTCAAGACCTGGGCCTGCACTTAATCACAACAACAATAATAATAATAATAATAATAATAATAATAATAATAATAAACAATTGGAAAAGCTGAGACAATATGAGGATTTAAGGATCAAACTGCAAAGACTCTGGCACAAGCCAGTCAAGGGGTCCCAGTGGTGATCGGCACACTGGGTGCAGTGCCTCAAGACCTGGGCCTGCACTTAAACACAATCGGTGCTGACAAAATTATCATCTGTCAGCTGCAAAAGGCCACCCAACTCGCATCTAGATGCATTATTCGCCGATACATCACACACTCCTAGACACTTCGGAAGCATCTGACGTGTGATCCAATTCAACAGCCAGCAGAGTGTCTGCTGTGGACTCTCGTTGTGTTTCAAGTAATAATAATAATAATAATAATTTTGGGAAGCGTCCAACGTGTGATCCAATTCAACAGCCAGCAGTGTCTGCTGTGGACTCTTGTTGTGTTTCAAATAATAATAATAATAATAATAATAATAATGGATTTTTATTGTTAGATGCTTTGTGTCTCCTTTGGGAGAGAAGAAGTGGGATGTAAATAATAATAATAATAATAATAATAATAATAATAATAATAATAATAATAATAATAATGTGTTTGCTGTGAGTTTTCCGGGCTGTCTGGCCATGTTCCAGAAGCATTCTCTCCTGACATTTTGCCCACACCTATGGCATTCATAATAATAATAATAATAATAATAATAATAATAATAATAATAATAATAATAATAAAAACTTTATTTGTACCCCGCTACCATCTCCCCAAGGGACTCGGTGCGGCTTACATGAGGCCGAGCCCACAATACAACAATAAACAATAGCAACAGTAATACAAAACAATAAACTCACAAGCAGAAAATAAGCAATAAACATTAACACATTTAAAAACCTATGGCTGGGCCAAATATAATAATTAAATAATTATTTTAATTTTATTTTAAAAAAAATAATCCTCAGAGGTTGTGAGGTCTGTTGGAAATTGGGGTTTATATATCTATGGAATGCTGTCCAGGGTGGGAGAAAGAACTCTTGTCTGTTGGAAGCAAGTGTGAATGTTGCAATTTGCCATCTTGAATAGTCTTGCAGCTTCAACGCCTGGCTGCTTCCTGCTTGGGGATCCTTTGTTGGGAGGTTTTAGCTGGTCCTGATTGTTTTCTGTCTGGCATTCCCCTATTTACTCTTGGTTTCACCTGATTATCATGAGTCACAGCTGCAGCTCGACTTCCCACCCTTTGAGCATTGTGTGGATTTCATTGCGTTGTAACGCACTTCCTTATTGGCGCAAAGAGCTTTGAGCTGCTATGGGTGCCGACGCTAAGCAGATGGGATAAGAATTTTTAGTAGATATAAACCAGACAGCAATTGAGACTTCCAGGCATCAAAGTCCAGCAACATCCAACAGGCCAAAGGTTCCTTATAAACAGTCTCAGGATTCGTTTCACATACAGAGCTAGAGTCTAAGTGGCTGACTATTTAGCAAATAAATCTAGAGAATTATGCAATAATAATAATAATAATAATAATAATATAATAAGCTGTTAGAAGACCCATCTCTTCCAGCAGGAGGCTGACCCACTCAACTTCCAATCATGAGATTTGATTCGCGTTCTATTGCTGCTATATGTTAATATTATACCTGTGTTTGGTGTATGTTTTTGTAATATATCTGTGTGTATTTATCTATGTATGTTATTGTTTGTACTTTTTATATGTTTTGGACTTTGTTGTACCCCGCCTCAAGCTGTCAGCAGAGGCAGGTAATAATTAAAATATTATTATCATTATTATTTTCATGATCACCATCATTATTATTATAGTTACAGTACAGGAATCAAATGCAACTTAAGATAAAAAAGCATACAATACTTATAGATTGTCATTTGTGTATTTTAATATATTTTAAAAAATTTAATTGTTGTTATTATTATTATTACTCTTAATACTGTTAACACTCTTGTTATTATTATTATAAATGGGAAGGAGTGACTGCCCTTTGTATGGCACCAACAAAAATGCAGATAACGTTGTTGTTGTTGTAATTATAAATGTAAAGGCACTGAACCAACTGCAGACTTTGTTATTATTATTATTACTAAACGTGAAGGTAATTATTATTACTAATCTTTTCTCCTGCTTATGTCATGGGCCAGAGTGAAGAGAGAGGGGGACAGAAGACAGTTCTATTTTGTTCGCTATGGTTCACTAATAATATATTATAATATATTGTATAAACATATAATATTTATAATATTATAATGTCATACAATATGATTCTAACAATACTAATATAATATTTTATTATATATTTTATATTACACATAATATTACTAATAATGTTACTATATAATGGAATTGTACAATGTAGTAATATAAAATACTGATATTGTATTATGCTAATGATTTAATATAATGTGTGTGTGTATATATATATCTATATATCTATATATATCTCTTGTAAGCCGCTCTGAGTCCCCTTCAGGGTGAGAAGGGTGGCATATAAATGTAGTAAATAAATAAATATGGGACAACTGTCCTGTGTGCCATTGAGGAAACTACACATTATTGTTATTGTTATTGTTGTTGTTGTTGTTGTTATAAATGGGAAGGGATGGCTGTCCTCTGTGTGCCACTGAGGCAATATCAGACTTTCCTGAACATAGTTTGGACAAAAACCCCCACCAGCTCTAAAGAATGATGCCCAGATCGTTGACTCTGTGTTTCACCTTGTACTGGGTGAGGTTCTGCAGGTGAGGGAAATGCAAGGTGGAGATGAACTGGTGGACATATTTGCTGTTGAGGCCCTCTTTGTAGAGGCTCTCAGCCAGGATTTTGCTGGCAAAGTTCTTCCCGGTCCCGGTCCAGCCGTGCAAGGAAAGCGTCAAGGGCTTCTTGGGGTTGGAGTTGTTCAGGAACCCTGTCACGGCCTTCACTATCACCTTCCTGGCCAAATGCTGCCCAAAGAGCTTCTTGTCCAAATTCTCCTGTAGCACTGCAGACGGGGAGAGAAAAAGACACACCAATCAGCTTTTTTTTTAAAAAAAAAAATCTTTATTGAGCGTTTTTAGATACATAAAAAGTGGTGGAACAATTGGGTAGGGATAGGAAAGTGAGATCAGCTTGACAGGAACAGAAATCCTCAACAAATGAATACACATAGTTATATGTTACGTTAATATTGACTGTTATCATTACTGTCATAATCACAATGATATACACCATGACAATGACAATTTATTTATTTATTTGCGACATTTATATGCTGCCCTTCTCACCCACGAAGGGGACTCAAGAGCGGCTTACAAGTAATATGTAAATACAATATATTATATTATATTATATTATTTATTTATTTACTGCATTTATTGACCGCCGCTCTCAGCCCTAGGGCGACTTGCGGCGGTGCACAACATATAAAAACAGTTTACAAAAAGGGCAAAACAGGGAATCAATACAATAATAATACACTATAATCTAGTTACACTAAATAATCCGCTCCGTCACATCATAGAATCATAACCAATATCGTAATCCGTATTCCGTTCCAGTTGTCAATTACCAGTTGCCGTAGCGCTCAGTTGAATGCCTTCTCAAATAGCCAGGTCTTCAGGCTCTTTCGGAAGGACAGAAGGGAAGGCGCCTGTCTGATGTCAGCAGGGAGGTCGTTCCACAGCCGGGGGGCCACCACCGAGAAGGCCCTTTCTCTTGTCCCCACCAGACGTGCCTGTGAAGCAGGCGGGATCGAGAGAAGGGCCTCCCCAGACGATCTCAAGGTCCTCGTGGGCTCATAGGCCAAGATGCGGTCCGAAAGGTATTATATCATTACCATTGCACAATATTAGTATTATATATTACTATATTGTACTATACCATTAGACTGTAATATTATTAGTAATATTACATGTAATATAAACTATATAATAATAATAATAATAATAATGGTAAAGGTTTCCCCTGACATTAAGTCCAGTCGCTATTATTATTATTGTCATTATTGTGCATACATATTTTATTTTTATATTGTACCACATTATAATGCTTCTCAAGCTCGGCTGGCGGGGATGAGAGATAGGGCCTTCTCGGTGGTGGCTCCTCGGCTGTGGAACGCCCTTCCTACGGACATTAGACTAGCACCATCTCTAATGGTATTCCGCAAAAAAGTGAAGACCTGGCTGTTTGAGCAGGCGTTCGAATAATTAGTGCAATGATTGGTTAATGAACACTGGAATGGAACAATGGATGACGAATCTGGAACATGTTTTTGATGACGAGACGACAGTGAATGGGTATTGTAGTAACTGTTTATTAATTGTGTAATGTGTTGGTTGTTAACTGTTTTTATACTGTAGCACTGAATTTTTGCTGTTCGTATTTGTTGTGAACCGCTGTGAGTCGCCTTCGGGCTGAGAACAGCGGTATATAAGTAAGGTAAATAAATAAATAAATAAATAAATAATATTATAAATATATGTATTTACAATAATGATAATATAACAATATAACATATACTAAGGAAAAATAATAGCATTATTATTATTATTATCATTATATTGTACCCCATTATAATATTACCAATCTTTGAAATATAATATTATAATATTATCTATCTTTGAAAGGCAGCAGATCACAGGAGCTGTCTTCATAGACTTGTCAGCAGCCTATGAGACTGTGAACCACCGCCTCCTCCTGAGAAAAATGTATAATATCACAAAGGACGACCACCTCACCCGCCTCATAGGAAACCTGCTACAAAACAGGAGCTTTTTTGTTGAGTTCCAGGGCCAGAGAAGCAGATGGCGGAAACAGAAGAACGGCCTGCCTCAGGGGAGCGTGCTTGCTCCATCCATGTTCAACATCTACACAAATGACCAGCCACTGCCAGAAGGGACAGAGAGTTTCATCTATGCTGATGATCGTGCCATTACCACTCAAGCAGGGAGCTTTGAGATGGTTGAACAGAAGCTCTCCGAAGCTCTAGGTGCTCTTACTGCCTATTACAGGGAAAACCAACTGATCCCTAATCCATCTAAAACACAGACATGTGCCTTTCACCTTAAGAACAGACAAGCATCCCGAGCTCTGAGGATTACCTGGGAAGGAATCCCACTGGAGCATTGCAGCGCACCCCAATACCTGGGAGTCACTCTGGACCGTGCTCTGACCTACAAGAAGCACTGCCTGAACATCAAACAAAAAGTGGGCGCTAGAAAAAATATCATACGAAAGCTGACTGGCACAACCTGGGGATCACAACCAGACACAGTGAAGACATCTGCCCTTGCGTGCTACTCTGCTGCTGAGTATGCATGCCCAGTGTGGAACACATCTCACCACGTTAAAACAGTGGATGTGGCTCTTAATGAGACATGCCGCATTATCACGGGGTGTCTGCGCCCCACCACTGGAGAAATTACACTGCTTAGCCAGTATTGCACCACCTGACATCGCCGGGAAGTAGCAGCCAATAGTGAAAGGACCAAGGCAGAGACATCTCCAGCTCATCCCCTGTTTGGGTATCAGCCAGCACGTCAACGACTTAAATCAAGACATAGTTTTCTTAGATCTACAGAGACACTCGCTGGAACACCCCAGCAAGCGAGAGTCCAAAAGTGGCAGGCACAAACCCAGCACCTCAATCCATGGGTGATACCAGATGAGAGACTCCCCCCTGGGCACACAGAAGACTGGGCGACTTGGAAGGCGCTGAACAGACTGCGCTCTGGCACCACGAGATGCAGAGCCAACCTCAAGAAATGGGGCCACAAAGTGGAATCCACGACATGCGAGTGTGGAGAAGAGCCAACCACTGACCACCTGCTGCAATGCAACCTGAGCCCTGCCACATGCACAATGGAGGACCTTCTTGCGGCAACACCAGAGGCACTCCAAGGGGCCAGAGACTGGTCAAAGGACATTTAACCAACTACCAAATTTGCAAAATCTGTGTGTTTTTTCTTCCTTTTTCTTTTTAGTCTGTGTGTTTGTTTTGCTCTGTTAGAATTGTAATACAATGGTATGGTTGCTGATGACACGATAAATAAAGAAATAAATATTACCAATATTATAAGTATTCACAATAATGATAATATAACAATATAATAACATATACTAAGGAAGAAACAATAGCACTATTATAATAGTGACAATATAAGCATGACATTATTATGTTAATACAGCTTCCACTTTCTGAGGTGACAGCCCCTCAGCCTAGGGTAGGCCTCTGACAGACCTGGCTGGACTTGGGCGCCGTCCCCTTGGTGGCAGCAGTGGGCGAAGAGGCAGTAGAGGCGCGGGTAGGAGAGGAAGCCCGTGAAGGCGGAGGCGGCGGCGCCGGCCAGGGCCAGGCTCAGGCTCAAGGGCTCCACCGCCCCGGCCAGGCCCGCCGACAAGACCCACGTCGCCAGCCACACCCGCCACCGCATCGCCTCACGACGGGCACTTCCGCTCTACTGGCGGCGGAGGGCCCTCCGGGAAGGCGCTTCCGCTCCCACAGCCGCCATCTTGGAGCCGGGCGGGAGTTCAACGCCGCAGCGACGGGATTGGCCCGCGGGGAGGAGAGGCGCGTGGCTTATTCGAGACTCATGGCCTACCCCATTCCAGCAGCACGAAGGGGCGGGGCCTATTCCCAAACACACTGCCTTTCCTATTCTAGCCACTCCAGTGGGCGGAGCGAGGGGCGTGGCCTATTCCTCAATACAAACCCATTCTAGTCTCCCACATGGGCGGAGCGAGGGGCGTGGCCTATTGCTTGATAGACACTACCTTTCCCATTCTAGCCACTCCAGTGGGCGGAGCGAGGGGCGGGGCCTATTGTTTGATAGACACTGCCTTCCCCATTCTAGCCACACCAGTAGGCGGAGCGAGGGGCGTGGCCTATTGCTTGATAGTCTTTCCCATTCTAGCCACTCCAATGGGCGGAGAGAGGGGCGTGGCTTATTCAATACTGATGCACTTTATTATACTTTAAATACACACTGCCCTGCCTATTCCAGCTACCTTTCCTAATTCTATATGCTATGCTAATAATATATAATATAGTATAATATAATATTGGTTCATGATTGGGAAAGTCGTACGGCAAGGCTGCATCCTCTCACCCAACCTTTTAAACTTGTATGCAGAACACATCATGCGAGGATGTGCGGGGCTGGATGAATGCAAAATGGCTGGAAGAAACATTCACAACCTCAGATATGCAGGTGACACCACTCTGATGGCCGAAAGCGAGGAGGAGCTGAGGAGCCTTCTAATCAAGGTGAAAGAAGAAAGCGCAAAAGCTGGGTTGCAGATAAACGTCAAAAAACCAAGATGATGGCAACAAGAATGATTGACAACTGGGAAATAGAGGGAGAAACCGTGGAGGCCGTGACAGACTTTGTATTTCTAGGCGCAAAGATGAGTGCAGATGCAGACTGTGGCCAGGAAATCAGAAGACGCTTACTTCTTGGGAGGAGAGCAATGTCCAGTCTCGATAAAATAGCAAAGAGTAGAGACATCAGACTGGCAACAAAGATCCATTGCCTAGTCCAAGCCATGGTATTCCCTGGAGTCACCTACGGATGAGAGAGCTGGACCTTAGGGAAGGCTGAGCGAAGGAAGATCGATGCTTTTGAGCTGTGGTGTTGGAGGAAGGTTCTGAGAGTGCCTTGGACTGCGAGAAGATCCAACCAGTCCATCCTCCAGGAAATAAAGCCTGACTGCTCATTGGAGGGAAGGATACTAGAGACAAAGTTGAAGTACTTTGGCCACATCATGAGGAGACAGGAAAGCCTAGAGAAGACAATTATGCTGGGGAAAGTGGAAGGCAAAAGGAAGAGGGGCCGACCAAGGGCAAGATGGATGGATGGCATCCTTGAAGTGACCGGACTGACCTTGAAGGAGACCCTGGGGGTGGTGGCGGCCAACAGGGAGCTCTGGTGTGGGCTGGTCCACAAGGTCACGAAGAGTCGGAGACGACTGAACGAATGAACAATATAATATATAGTATATATATACTGTGTATACAATATAACACTAATAATATATTATCATTATATACATATTACATGTATTATTAATATTTATATATATGCTGTGTATATAATATAATACTAATAATATATTATAATTATATATATATATTATATGTATTATTAATAATATTTATACGATTATAATGTAATGCAATATAATACTACTAATAACAATTTATCATATTTATTATATGTGTGTGTGTGTGTGTGTGTAATAACATACAATATAAAATATATAAATATTTATTTATTTATCATGTCTGGTTGCTCCTGACACGATAAATAAATAAATATTTATATATTTTATATTACATGTTATATTGCTAATAATATTGCAAAATAATGGTATAGTACAATATAGTAATATATAATACTGATATTGTGCTATGATAATAAAATAATATATTGTATGTATATAGATCTTGTAAGCCGCTCCGAGTCCCCTTCAGAGTAAGAAGGGCGGCATAGAAATGTCATAAATAAATCATATAATAAATAAATAAATTGTGAATTCTTGGTATTTTGACTATGCATTGAAGTCTATGGGGCATCTCTCTGCCCAGGGCTCCTATGTGTCATCCTTTGCCATCGAGCATTGCGCCCCCTTAGAGTTCTGACCCCCCATTGAAACCTATGGGGCATCTCTCTGCCCAGGACTCCTATGTGTCTTCCTTTGCCGCCTGCTGGTGGACACATTGAACATTGGTTTTTTTTAAAAAAATGTTCTATATATTTTAGTTTAATTGTAAGAGTTTTATGTATTTTAACAGGTTTTTCATCATAGTCCTGTATTTAATTCTGTTTTTAAGGTTCGAATCCAGGGAGCAGGGTGAGCTCCCACCGTTAGCCCTAGCTTCTGTCAACCTAGCAGTTTGAAAACATGCAAATGTGAGTGGATTAATAGGTACCGCTCCAGCGGGAAGGTAATGGTGTTCCATGCAGTCCTGACGGTGGCAACATGAGCTTGGAAGTGTCTACGGATAACGCCGGCTCTTTGGCTTAGAAATTGAGATGAGCACCAACCCTCAGAGTTGGACACGACTGGACTTAATGTCAGGGGAAAACATTTACCTAACATAATATATTGTTTATACATATAATATTTATAATATTATAATGTAATACAATATAATACTACCACTAATAATAATGATATATATGTATATTACATGTAATATTACTAATATTACCATATAATGGTATAGTAGAATATAGTGATATATAATACTATATATTGTATAGCATTATATATTACTATATTGTACTATGCTAATAATATAGTGTATGTATATATATATTATAAGCTGCTCTGAGTCCCCTTCGGGGTGAGAAGGGTGGCATATAAATGTCGTAAATAAATTAATGAATGAGTAAAAAGCAGGATATTATTTATTTTCAACATTTATATGCTGCCCTTCTCACTCCAAAGGTGACTTAAGTAATATACAATATATTATATTATTACCATAGCACAATATTAGTATTATAGATTACTGTATTGTACTATACCATTATACTGTAATAATAATAATATCCCTGTTTTTTACTCCTGGAGTAATAATAATAATAATAATAATAATAATAATAATAATAATTTATTTCATCAGTTCTAAGGCACTATCGAAACAGAAAAAAATCTGTATTTCTCTGTATCCAAGAGTACCTGCGAATCTTGGTTTTTTAGATGTTTATATTCTACAATCTCAAAGCTCCCTGCTTGAGTGGTAATGGCACGATCATCAGCATAGATGAAGCTCTCTGTCCCTTCTGGCAGTAGCTGGTCATTTGTGTAGATGTTGAACACGGATGGGGCAAGCATGCTTCCCTGAAGCAGGCCGTCCTTCTGTTTCCGCCATCTGCTTTTCTGGCCCTGAACTCAACAAAAAAGCTCCTGTTTTGTAGCGGGTTTCCTATGAGGCGGGTGAGGTGGTCGTCCTTTGTGATACTATACATTTTACTCAGAAGGAGGCGGTGGTTCACAGTGTCATAGGCTGCTGACAGGTCTATGAAGACAGCTCCTGTGATCTGCTGCCTTTCAAAGCCATCTTCTATGTGCTGAGTCAGGTTCAGCACTTGTGATGTGCAGCTTTTGCCTTTTCTGAAGCCAGCTTGCTGTGGGATCAGACAGGGGTCTATTTTTTCCGTAATTCTATGCAAAATAAGTCTCTCCAGAACTTTGTAGAGGTGGCATAACAGGGAGATTGGTCTGTAGCTTTTTGGGTCATTACGGTCTTTGCCTGGCTTCAAGATGGCGATGACTCTTGCTTTCCTCCAGATTTTGGGGATCTGACAGGATGCAGTGCAGTTGTTCATCAGCTCCAGCAGCCAGCGCCTTGCTTTTGGGCCAAAGTTCTTGGTTTGTTCCATCCATAGATCCGGTATTGCACCACCTCACATCTGCCAGGAAGTAGCAGCCAATAGTGAAAGGACCAAGGCAGAGACATCTCCAGGTCATCCCCTGTTTGGGTATCAGCCAGCACGTCAACGACTTAAATCAAGAAATAGTGTTCTTAGATCTACAAAGTGGCAGGCTCAAACCCAGAACCTCAACCAATGGCTGATACCAGATGAGAGACTCCCCCCTGGGCACACAGAGGACTGGGCGACTTGGAAGGCGCTGAACAGACTGCGCTCTGGCACCACGAGATGCAGAGCCAACCTTCAGAAATGGGGCCACACAGTGGAATCCACGACATGCGAGTGCGGAGAGGAGCAAACCACTGACCACCTGCTGCAATGAACCCTGAGCCCTGCCACATGCACAAGGGAGGACCTTCTTGCGGCAACACCAGAGGCACTCCAAGTGGCCAGATACTGGTTAAAGGACATTTAATCAACTACCAAGTTTGCAAAATCTGTGTTTCTTTTAATCTGTTTGTTTGTTTTGTTCTGTTAGAAATGTAATATAAATGACTGGCTGCCCTGACACAAGAAATAAAGATGTTTATATTGTGATAAATAAGGGCTTCTTAGTATTGGTGGTGCAGCGGGTCAAACTGCTGAGCATGACCTTGGAGGTGGACACCAACCCCCAGAGTTGGACTTAATGTCAAGGGGAAACTTTTACCTTTTCCTTTTTAGAATGAGTGAAACAACAATAACAATAATAAATGTATTACTGCCTTCACCCTGTGACTTGATCTTGTACGAGGGGTTAATTCACTCCATTTAATAATATAGTAATAATAATAATAATAATAATAAAACAACGCACACAAAAATCCGGTTTTAAAAAGCCTTCTGCATTTTCAACACAGACACAGCTGAAGAAGACATTCCAAATACTGCCTGCTTTTTATCGATCCCCAAACGGAACTGGCTTGAACGCCACCGACGTGGCCACGCTCCAAGAGTTTAAAAGCATGGCCCTGAATTGGGATGTATAGTACAACCAGGGCCTCCTCCGTTGAACTATGAATCCCAAAAAGATCTACTTTTTTTCGGGCCCTTTTCTGCTCAAAGGAAAATGAAAGCCACACTGCAAACGGAAACAAAAAGTTCGTAATGGAGGGAGAGGGGTAAAATAATTATCGTAATAATAATAATAATGACACACCCAACACATGGATTTCTGCCCTCCCCCAAAAGGAGGGAAAGTCCTTCAAAAATGGCACAGCGGATATCAACAGGGCTTCCCACCCTCGGTTCCTACGTGCGGTTCAACGTCTGGAAGATGCGGGAGATTTGCAGCATGACGGGCCCCGTTTCGGGGTCGTTCATCCATTGCGTGCTGTTCAATGGGTTTTCCAGCATGTCTTCAAAGGCTGCGGTGAGAGAAAGGCTTGACTTATTATTATTATCATCATTATTAGGTTTTATCATATTATAAGCTGAACATGAGTCGAGAGTGTGATGCTGCAGCAAAAAAGGCCAATGCGATCCTGAGCTGCATCAATACAAATATATAATATAGGACATAGATAACTGACACCAGGCTTGAGTTGTTATCATTATTATTATCATCATTAGGTCTTATCATATTATAAACTGAACATGAGTCAAAAGTGAGATGCTGCAGCTAAAAAGGCCAATGCAATCCTAAACTGCGTCAATACAAATATATAATACAAGATATAGATGACTGACACCAGACTTATTATTATCATTATTCTAAATATAAATGTCGTAAATAAATAAATAAAATATATAATTATTACACCTTAGCATATTACAAGCTGGACATGAGTTGAGAGTGTGATGCTGCAGCCAAAAAGGCCAATGTGATCCAAAGCTGCGTCAATACAAATATATATATATATATATATATACACACACACACACACACACACACACACACACACACACACACACATACACACACACACACAAGACATAGATGACTGTCACCAGGCTTGACTTATCATCATCATTAATATCATTATTATAAATATAAATGTCATAAATAAATAAATAAATAAATATTACGTCAGCATATTACAAGCTGAACATGAGTTGAGAGTGTGATTCTGCAGCCAAAAAGGCCAATGCGATCCTAAGCTGCATCAATACAAATATATAATAATACAAGATATAGATGACTGACACCTGGCTTGACTTATTATTATTACCACCATTATTATGTTTTGGCATATTACAAGCTGAACATGAGTCGAGAGTGTGATGCTGCAGCCAAAAAGGCCAATGCGATCCTAGGCTGCGTCAATACAAATATATAATAACACAAGACATAGATGACTGACACCAGGCTTGACTTATTATTATCATTAACATTATTATTATTATTATAAATATAAACGTCATAAATAAATAAATATTACGTCTTAGTGTATTACAAGCTGAACATGAGTCAAAAGTGTGATGCTGCAGCTAAAAAGGCCAATGCGATGCTAGGCTCCATCAATACAAATCGATAATATAGGACATAGATGACTGACATCGGGCTTGAAACATAATAATAATATAATGATAATAGTAATAATAATGATAGATGTAGGTTCCAGCAATACACTATTATTATTATTATTATTATTATTATTTATTTATTAATAGCATGTCTTAGTATACGACAAGCTAAACATCAAGAGTATGATGCTGCAGCAAAGAAGGCCAATGCCATCATAAACTGCATCAATACAAATACATAATTTAGGATATACACAACTGACACCTGGCATGACAATAATAATAATAATAATAATAATAATAATAATAATAATAATAGTTGTTGTTATTATTATTATTATTATTATTATTATTATTATTCTAGGCTCCATCAATACAATTATCGTTATTATTATTTCTTAGCAGACCACAAGATAAATGTGAGTCAAGAGTGTGATGCTGCAGCGAAAAAGGCCAATGCGATATTAGGCCTGACAAACAAGAGTAATAATAATAATAATAACAATAATTATTATTATAATAATATAATAAATGTAGGCTCCAGCAATACAGTTATTGTTATTATTATTATTGTTGTTATTATTATTATTATTTTACTGACACAAAAACACAGTATGTCACAACAAACGAGATCTATATGCTGGATTTCGTATCACAAAATCACAAGTCGAGCACTTCCCAAACATCTAGGACTGTGTGATTATTATTATCATCATGATTATTACTATTTCTTACAATTATCGTTATTATTATTTCTTAGTAGACCACAAGCTAAATGTGAGTCAAGAGTGTGATTCTGCAGCCAAAAAGGCCAATATGGGCCTAGGCTGCAACAATACAAATAGATAATATAGGAGATAAACCGGGGTATAAATAATAATAATAATAATAATAGATAATTGACACCTGGCTTGACAAATTATAATAATAAATGTAGGCTCCGTTAATACAATGTGATGCAATATAATACTAATAATATAATTATATATTTATATTACATGTAATATTACTAATATTACAACATAATGATATAGTAGAAATATAGTAATATTTAATACTGATATTGTACTATGCTAATAATATAGTATATTGTATGTATATATATCTTATAAGCCGCTCTGAGTCCCCTTCGGGGTGAATAAATAAATAATGTCGTAAATAAATAAATAATAAATGAATTACTATTGTTGTTGTTATTGTGTTCTTAGAATACTACAAGCTGAACGTGAGTCGAGACCGTGATGCTGCAGCCAAAAAGGCTAATGCGATGCTAGGCTCCATCAATACAAATATATAATAGAGGACATAGATGAGACAACAATCTGACGCTGCAGCGGAAAAGGTCAATATATAGGGGGGAAAAAGGCCACATCATATCTGTCTGTCTGTCTATCTTGTCTGTGACTGTATGGTCATCTGCCGGGAGGGGTCGGATTGTGTCCTGCTGGATGAGAGAATAGGGGAAGGTCTAGATGGCCCTGGGGGGCCCCTCCCAGCCCTAGGATCCTAAGCGGCACTTACCCAGGAGTGTTTTGGGGTTGGTGAGTCCCAGCTGCACCACTGGGTTTTCCAAAATGGCTTGGAAGAGGGGGCTGGCGGGGTCGATGCCTTTGTCCAGATCCTCCGGGGTGGGCTTCCGGTCGCCCAGCAGCCACTCACACTGAGAAATAAATAAATAAATAAATAATACAAACTCCAGGATCAGCCTAGATTGTGAGAGCTGTAGTTCACCCCACATCCATAGAGCACTGTGAACCCCATTGACTGACGACGGATCTGGACCAAACTTGGCACGCAGGCCCATCACGAGCATTGGGCGTGGTTTGGAGTGAAAACACCCTGGGTGATGGGAGTTATAGTTCACCTCGCATCGAGAGAGGATACTCACAGCGGCATTCTGCTGGTTGTTGTTGACTCGGAGGGCGTCCACCACTTCTCTCTCGTCGAAGCCCATCTCCATCAAGGCAACGACGGCCTGGAACCATCGCAAAAGCAGTTTGGCTTATTTATTTTTAACTGGCCGACAAAACAGTTAAACTGGGAATTGAGAGGTCCAGAGGTGGACAGGATGTGATGTCATTATTTATTTTATGATGTATTTTAATATTGATTTATTATGAATTTCAGTTCTGTATTTATTAGAAATTTTATCCTGCATTTATTATGAATTTTAATCTGCATGTATTACGGATTTTAATCTGTATTTTAAATGATATTAAATTGGTTTTCATTATGAGCCACTTTGAGTCTCTTTTGTAGAGAGAGAAAGCGGGGTATAAAGGTAGTATCTTTTGGAAAAACCACACACACACACACACAAATAAGCAATTTTTCCACACACACACACACACACACACACACACACACACATATATATATATATACACATACATACATACATACATACTATAGAATACAATATAACACACATTTGGAAAACTAAGTGTGTATATATATGTGTGAGTGTGTGTGAGTATGTGTGTGTATATATATATATATATAAGTGTGTGTGTGTATATATATATGTTTGTATATATATATAAAACCATTAATATAATATAATATAATATAACATAATATATATTTGGAAAATTGTGTGTGTGTGTATATATATATATATATAAGCAAATTTTCAATATATATATTACATTTTATTATAATTTTTTGATATGTGTGTGTGTGTGTGCGCACGCGCACATATATGCAATTTTATAAAACCATTAATATAATATAATATAATATAATATAATATAATATAATATAATATAATATAATATACCATAATATAATATAATTTGGAAAATTGTGTGTGTGGATGTGTATATATAGGCAAATTTTCAAATATATATTATACATTTTATTATAATTTTTATATATATATGTGTGTGTGTGCGCACATATAAGCAATTTTTCATATATATATATATATATATATATATATATATATATATATATATATGGAAAACCTATAATATAATATAATATTTATTTACTTTATTTGTATACCGCTCTTCTCAGCCCTTGGGCGACTCAGAGCGGTTTATAAATTTGGAAATATAATAATAATATAAATTTGGAAATATAATAATATAAATTTGGAAAATCATGTATATGCATATATACGTACATACAAATATGCATTTTTTTCAAATATCTATATTTTAAATTATATATCATATAATAAATTAAAATACATGTATATAATACAAATAATAATAATACTAATTTCATTTCTTATCGGCCTCTCCTTGTGGCTCGAGGCAGGTTACAGCAAAGTCGAATCATACAAACATTGCAAAAATTCTACAAACATACATAGTAAAATGTAGTTCTATAAAAGATACATATGAATACCGAGATATGTCTGAACGTACCCGGGGGTCGGGGCGGAACTCTCTTTTCCGGCGGATTTTCTTGAAGATCTCCGTCAGCTCGTCCTTGGGCTCCTCTTGGCTCGACTCGGGGCTGGCCCCACCGGACGCTTGCCCCACAGACAAGGAGGAGGAGGAGGTCCCGGCACCGTTGGCGTGGTTCTCCTCAGCCGCTGAGGGTTGCTGACCCGGCAGAGGGGCGTCAACTGCGGGGTCGTCGGCATGTTCAATCAGCCACTCCATGGCCTGCGTCACAGACATGCTGCAATGGCGGAGGGTCACACGCATCACTCAAACTGCAAACGAGTGGAGACTCGAATGTCACGGAGTGGCCCTTTCCACTTACTGGTTCAAGCGAAGGGCCTTGACGGCCCGGCTCTCCGGGAAGCCCATCTCCGTCAGCTGGCGCAAGGCGATCTCATCCACTCGGTCGTCCTCGTCTTCGTCCAACATGGCTGCAGACAAAGAGGGGCAGGTCAGGGCAGGGCATTAGGAGACTTACGTCTGTGGAGGCCTGTGAAGCCTCAAAGGATGAGGGCGAGGATTTTCTGGTTGAGCCTGGTGCTTCTGTTTGGGAGAGTGTTTTTTGAGACGGTGGGAATGTTATCGGGGAAACAGGCAATGATTCTCAGGGATTGACTCTGAAAGAAGGGTTACCGATAACCCATTGTTTACAGATCAGAAGGGATAGTGCAAAAGAGAGACAAACCCAGTGTTCCCTGAGACTGAAAGATAAACAAAGGGAACCCAGGTATGAGAAAGGTTAATGTCATGGGCAAGAAGGAGAATTCTTAAGGAATGTTTGGTGGGGAGATCAACGTTGGATTTTCATGTGTCTTGGGAGCTCTGTTCTTGGGCCTGTAACTTGTTTCCCTGCCTCCTGTTTGGATTACAAATATTGTTTCGAGCCTTTGGGATTAGAGGCTGCCGTGTACCGTTTGCCTTCTTGAAGAGCTCCACCGCGTCCGGGTTCAGCGCCAACAACTTCTGGGCAACTTCGATCAGCGAGACTAAGATCTTCCGGAGTTCGGTCTGGAACTGGAAGGAAGGAGGGGACGTTGTTGGAGACTGACAACAAAATGTCTGGGCATGCAAAACGTCAACATTCTCGTACTCACATCTCGCATGTTGTGGTGAGCCACACTGCGGTCCACGCTATGGGACGGTAGGCTGGTAGTGGCTTTCAATATGGCCTCCTTGTCGGGCGCTTTCTGCTCCTGCTTCCGCTGGAAGAGGAAGGAGAGGCATTACATCCAGGCACAGACCAGGTTCAAGATGTGTGTGTGTGTGTGTGTGGGGAGGAAGAACCATATAATGTAATACAATCTATATAAATAAAAATGTAATGCACGTTTGTGGGATTAACAGAACTCAAAAACCACTGGACAAAATGACACCAAATTTGGTCACAAGACACCTAACAACCCAATGTATGCCCTTCACTAAAAAAATAGATTTTGTCATTTGGGAGTTGTAGTTGTTGGGATTTATAGTTCACCTAAAATCAAAGAGCATTCTGAATCCCCACCAACGATGGAATTGAAACATACTTGGCACACAGTTCTCCCATGACCAACAGAAAATACTGGAAGGGTTTGGTGGGCATTGACCTTGAGTTTTGAAGATGTAGTTCACCTACATCCAGAGATCACTGTGGACTCAAACAATGATGGATCTTGACCAAACTCTACATGAATACTCAATATGTTCAAATGTAAAAACTGACAGAGTTTCGGGAAAATAGAATCTTGACATTTGGGAGTTGTAGTTGCTGGGATTTATAGTTCATCTACAATCACAGAGCATTCTGAACTCCACCAACAATGGAATTGGGCCAAACCTCCCACACAGAACCCCCATGTGGACCACAGCAACGTGTGGCAGGGAACAGCTAGTATAAAAACAAAAACATAATGTTCGTTTGTGGGATTAGCATAACTCAAAAACCACTGGATGAATTGACACCAAATTTGGACACAAGACACTGATCAGGTCAACAAATGACCGTCACTCATAAAAACACCGAAAAACACAGCAGGAGGGACTTAAAAAGACCAAAAAATCAAAAATACACTACAACACATGCGCAAAACTACATATAAATAAAAAAAAATATGCACAAACACAAATATATACACAAACATACACACATAAAGCACATATACACAGACTGTGCCACAGCAATGCGTGGCAGGGGATGGCTAGTACATATATATATCACATATAGGTGTTGGGATTGCGGATATCTCGTGAAAAGCACAGATGATAAACTATACATCATATTAGTCAGATTGAAAAAGGTCTCCCAAGTTTCGTTTCACATATGGAGAAGAAAGGACAAACCCTTTTAGAGGTCAGGCCAGGCAAAAGGGAAGCTTGCCAGCAGCCGACTAAAGATAGCACTCCGGAGTGACGCCTCTTGTCCGAAATAGGAACACGCAAGAGGCTGCAGGCCAATGTGGCCGCACACACATGAACTATGCGCTCAGATGGCTCCAGAGGGGAAGCCTTGAAGGTGACTTCCTTCCTCTGGTGCAAAAGGGGGAATCAACACTCCATTCACTTTTAGGGGTTGGATGGCCATCTGTCGGGAGGGATTTGATGGTGCTTTTCCTGCCTTAGAATAATAGAGTTGGAAGAGACCACATGGGCCATCTGGTCCAACCCCCTGCCATGTAGGAAAGGCACAATCAAAGCACCCCCTACAGATGGCCATCCAGCCTGTTTAAAAGCTTCCAAGGAAGGAGTTTCCACCGGACTCTTGAGGCAGAGAGTTCCACTGCAGAACAGCTCTTCTTACAGTCAGGAAGTTCTTCCTTGTGTTCAATGAAATCTCCTCTCCTGTCATTTGAACCCATAGTTCTATTGAGTCCATTATTATTATTGTTGTTGTTGTTGTTGTTGTTTACTGCACTGCTACTAGGTTAGGTCAAGGTTTTCCCTTGACATTAAGTCCAGTCGTGTCCGACTCTGGGGTGTGGTACTCATCTCCATTTCCAAACCAAAGAGCCGGCATTTTCCATAGACACCTCCAAGGCCACATGGCTGGCATGACTGCATAGAGCGCTGTTACCTTCCCGCCGGAGCGGTACCTATTGATCTACTCACATTTGCATGTTTTCGCAGCACTACCACTACTACTACTACTACTAAAAACTTTGTATTGTCGAAGGCCTTCATGGCCAGAATCACTGGGTTGTTGTAGGTTTTTTCAGGCTATATGACCATGGTCTGGAGGCATTATCTCCTGACGTTTCGCCTGCATCTATGGCAAGCATCCTCAGAGGTAGTGAGGATGCTTGCCATAGATGCAGGCGAAAAGTCAGGAGAGAATGCCTCTAGACCATGGCTATATAGCCCGAAAAAACCTACTAAAAACTTTATTTATATCATTTTGCCAAAACTGGCATAGGGCTCCTCGCCTTCTTAAACTACATTTCCCAGAATTCTGTGCTTTCTCCATCTCTTTCCCAGCAAACTCTGCTTTCTCCCTCCATTATCTAAAGAGGAAAGGCGGCCTTTTTGGCTTTGCTTTGCTTTGCTTTCTTGTGCTGAACATGGAACTGACTTTGGGAGGCTTCCAATGTTTACAAAAAGGAAACGAAAAGTATTGGGTAAGTTTTAGTTCTTGAGTTTTTGGCGCGTTGGATATTGTGTCGTAAATACAAACTGGAACAAATTTTATCCGACTTACGACAACTAACGATATTTTTGCACAGCCCAAAATTGGGAGAGAAGAAAGTAATAACTGAGAGAAACATATGATAGGTAGATCAGGATTATTCCAAGTGAAGGTCTGATCAAAGCAGAACAGAGTGCGACCAGGACTTCCCACCATGTGGACACTATCTTCCTTTGGATGCAGCCTATAATAATATAATAAACTTTATTTATACCCCGCCACCATCTCCCCAATGGGGACTCGGAGCGGCTTACATGCGGCCAAGCCCGGACAACATATTACATCAAAATAAAACCAAAAACATAAACAACAAGCAACATCATCAAAATTACATTTTAAAAAATTGCGTTTGTCATTTCCGCCGCCCCATCACACTTTTGGCTCATGCTCAACTTGGGGTCCACTAAAACTCCTAGATCCCAGACTCACTTTCTCTTCCGCCGAAACGTCCGCCATTTTGGGGGGAGCCGGGGGCGCTCTTTTCCTCACCAGCACCAACACATCTGAGAAGGCAAAACAATAACATAAACATAAACAGGATGTGAGATATCAAAGAGAGGTTGTTATATGTCCCTTCCCTGTCCCGTCAATCCCATGATTCCATAGGAAGTTACCATGGTTGATAAAGTGGAATAACAGCACTACAATTTGTAATATAAAATAATTATATATTTTATATTGTCTGTAATATAAAATAATTATATATTTTATATTGTTTGTAATATAAAATAATTATATATTTTATATTACATGTAATATTACTAATAATATTACAATATAATAGTATAGTACAATATAGTAATATATAATACTGAAATTTTACTATGCTAATAATATAATATTATAATATAATGTAATACAATTTATAATATTATAATGTAATACAATATAATACTACAATATAACATTATAATATAATGGTATAGTACAATATAGTAATATACTGATATTTTACTATGCTAGTAATATAATATTATAATATAATATAATGTAATACAATATAATACTACAATATAATAATACAGTACAATATAGTAAAATATAATACTGATATTTTATTATGCTAATAATATAATATTATAATGTAATATAATACAATTTATAATATCATAATGTAATACAATATAATACTACAATATAACATTACAATATAATGGTATAGTACAATATAGTAATATATAATACTGATATTTTACTATGCTAATAATATAATATTATAATATAATGTAATACAATTGATAATATTATAATGTAATACAATATAATACTACTAATAACACAATTATATGTGTATAATTATATAAATATATAATTGTATATTTTATATTACATGTAATATTACTAATAATATTACAATATAATGATACAGTACAATATAGTAATATATAATACTAATATTGTGCTATGCCAATAATTTAATATATTGTATGTATATATATTTTGTAAGCCACTCTGAGTCCCCTTCGGGATGAGAAGGGTGGCATATAAATGTCATAAATAAATAAATATGGGTGAATTAATTAAATACAGCTTTGAGTGTTCCATATCCAAAACACTTAGGACCAGAAGTGTTCCACAGACCAGGTTAACTATGTTGGGGGTGGGGAGAATATATACTATAATATATTACGATATATTAACATAAATATCATATAAGCAATGCAATAATATATAGTATAATATATAAATATAACACTATGTACCATGATTTTTGTTGCCGGGTTATAAATGCCGTTTCCTAATTGGTTCTATCATCAAAATATGGGAAAAGTTTATGAAACTGGAAAAACTCTTTGTTTTTGCGGGAGTGACATCCTGCTACAGCACCTTCTGCTCTAGTTTTTCGATGAACATCTCATCGAGTCTCAACCAATAGTTTGTGTCAGAAAAATGAAGTTTCTGGAGGAGAATAATGATAATAACTGTTATTTTTTATCCTGCTCCATCTCCCCAAGGGGACTCGGAGCAGCTCACAACAATATTATTATTATTAGTATTTATTCTGCTACAGAACAGGAGCTTTTTTGTTGAGTTCCAAGGCCAGAGAAGAAAATGGCAAAAACAGAAGAATGGCCTGCCTTTGGGGAGCGTGCTTGCACCATCCATGTTCAACATTTACACAAATGACCAGCCTCTACCAGAAGGGACAGAGAGTTTCATCTATGCTGACGATCGTGCCATCACCGTTCAAGCAGGGAGCTTTGAAATGGTTGAACAGAAGCTCTCCAAAGCTTTAGGTGCTCTTACTGCCTATTACAGGGAAATCCAGCTAATACCTAATCCATCTAAAACACAGATGTGTGCTTTCCATCATAACAACAGACAAGCATCTTGAGCTCTGATGATGACCTGGGAAGGAATCCCACTGGAGCATTGCAGTGCACCCAAATACCTGGGAGTCACTCTGGATTGTGCTCAGACTTATAAGAAGTACTGCTTGACTATCAGGCCAAAAGTGGGTGCTAGAAATAGTATAATACGAAAGCTGAGTGGCACAACCTGGGGATCACAACCAGACACAGTGAAGACATCAGCCCTTGCGCTTTGCTACTAAATACACATGCCCAGTGTGGAATACATCTCACCACATTGAAACAGGATGTGGCTCTTAATGAGACATGCCGCAGTATCACAGGATGTCTACACCCTACACCACTGGAGAAATGATACTGTTTAGTCAGTATACCCACTGGGAAGTAGCAGCCAATAATGAAAGGACCAAGGCATTGACATCTCCAGCCCATCCTGTTCAGATATCAGCCAGCACGCCAACTCCTTAAATCAAGAAATAGCTTTCTAAGATCTACAGTAATACTCACAGGAAGACCTCAGCAAGTAAGAGTCCAAAAGTGGCAGGCTAAAACCAGAAAACTCGAGCCATGACAGATACCGAATGAGAAACTTCCTTCTTACAGTGACATCTGAGGCAAGTGGTCAAAGCTAATTTAGTACAATGCCAAATATTTAACGTTGTTTGTGGTTTTTGTATGCATTACAACTGTATTCTCAATTTGCTTCTGACATAATAAATAAATAGCATCAAAAAAGGACCCTCTTTGTAATTTGGCCACATTAGAGTTGCGGCATACTTAGGATTCTTTCTTTAAAAACACAAATGTTAGGGCATCCAAACTTTTAGCCATAGAAAGGAAAACCTTGGGGTGCATCTATACCATGGAATGAATGCACTTTAAATGCCCTGGTTCGATGCTATGACGTCACAGGGAATGTTGTTTTGCAAGGCTTTGAGGCTTCTCTGCCAAAGGGTGCGGATGCCTCACCAAACTACAAATCTCAGGATGGCATAGCATTGAGCCATGGCCATTAAATGAAAGGTGACACCCCTCAAAGAGGAGCTCCTGAAGCGGCTTCTCCATGTACCTCTGTCTTGGACGTTCTCCTCCAGCACCGTCTTGGTGTCGCTCAGCACCTTCTCCGAAGCCGCGTGGATCAGCTTATGGTGTGTGACACATTTGGGGTCCTCCAGGCTTCCAGGGACACACTTGGGGGGGGGGGGGGGGGGGAAGGAAAGGAATCAAAAGGAGAGGTGGGTAAGAAATAAAACTATTATTATTATTATTATTATTATTATTATTATTATTATTATTATTACAAAATTGGGGAGAAGGGCGAATAATTGGGTGTTTCTAAAATTATTACTATGGCAAAGGCTGGGTGGCCATATTTTGGGGGGAGCTTTTCTTGCATGGCAGAATAAAGGGGGTTAGACTGACTGGCCCCTGGGGTTTCTACTAGTATTTGATACACAGCAGGATCAGTACACAGCAAACAAGATCACTCTGCTGGCTGTTGTATTGGATCACACACAGGATGAGGAGCCCCCGGTGGTGCAGTGAGTTAAACACCTGTGCCGGCAGGACTGAAGACCGATAGGTTGTAGGTTCGAATCCGGGGAGAGGCGGATGAGCTCCCTCTATCAGCTCCAGCTCCTCATGCGGGGACATGAGAGAAGCCTCCCACAAAGATGATAAAAACATCAAATCATCCAGGCGTCCCCTGGGCAACGTCCTTGCAGACGGCCAATTCTCTCACACCAGGAGTCACTCCTGACACGACAAAAAAACAAAACAAAAACAAAAAAACACACAGGACACTTCCCAAGTGTCCAGGATTATGTGATGTATCAGTGAATAATGTGTGCAGATCCAGGTAGGGTGGCCTTTTGCAGCTGACAGATTTTGTCAGCGCACATTGTTTTTAAGTGCAGGCCAAGGTCTTTAGGCACTGCACCCAGTGTGCCGATCACCACTGGGACCACCTTGACTGGCTTGTGCCAGAGCCTTTGCAGTTCAATCTTTATTATTACAAAGGCTATCTGTTCCTTTAATCATCATATGACCTGATATCTGTGCCGATTGTGTTCAAGTGCAGGCCAAGGTCTTTAGGCACTGCACACAGTGTACCGATCACCACTGGGACCACCTTGACTGGCTTGTGCCAGAGTCTTTGCAGTTCAATCATTATTATTATTATTGTTATTATTACAAAGGCTATCTGTTACTTTAATCATGATATGGTCTGATATCAGCGCCGATTGTGTTTAAGTGCAGGCCAAGGTGTTTAGGTGCTGTACCCAATGTGCCGATCACCACTGGGACCACCTTGACTGGCTTGTGTCAGAATCTTTGCAGTTCGATCTTTATTATCATCATCATCATTATTATTATTGTTTTTATTACAAGGCTATCTGTTCCTTTAATCATCATATGACCTGATATCAGCGCCAATTGTGTTTAAGTGCAGGCCAAGGTCTTGAGGCGCTGCACCCAGTGTGCCGATCACCACTGGGACCACCTTGACTGGCTTGTGCCAGAGTCTTTGCAGTTCAATCATTATTATTATTATTGTTATTATTACAAAGGTTATCTGTTCCTTGAATCATGATATGGCCTGATATCAGCGCCAATTGTGTTTAAGTGCAGGCCAAGGTCTTTAGGCGCTGCACCCAATGTGCCGATCACCACTGGGACCACCTTGACTGCCTTGTGCCAGAGTCTTTCTAGTTCGATCTTTATTATTATTATTATTACTCATCATATGACCTGATTTCAGCGCCGATTGTGTTTAAGTGCAGGCCAAGGTCTTTAGGCGCTGCACCCAGTGTGCCGATCACCACTGGGACCACCTTGAGTGGCTTGTGCCAGAGTCTTTGCAGTTCGATCTTTATTATCATCATCATTATTATTGTTATTATTACAAAGGTTATCTGTTCCTTGAATCATGATATGGCCTGATATCAGCGCCAATTGTGTTTAAGTGCAGGCCAAGGTCTTTAGGCGCTGCACCCAATGTGCCGATCACCACTGGGACCACCTTGACTGCCTTGTGCCAGAGTCTTTCTAGTTCGATCTTTATTATTATTATTATTATTACTCATCATATGACCTGATTTCAGCGCCGATTGTGTTTAAGTGCAGGCCAAGGTCTTTAGGCGCTGCACCCAGTGTGCCCATCACCACTGAGACCACCTTGACTGGCTTGTGCCAGAGTTCTTTGCAGATTGTTGTTGTTGTTGTTTTTACAAAGGCTATTTGTTCCTTTAATGATGATATGACCTGATATTTGGGAAGAACTGGCCTTTCTTCCTGGGAGTTGTAGTTCACCCACATCCACAGAAATGGATGGGAGGGATTGGCCTTGAGTTTTGAGAGTTGTAGTTCACCTACAGTGATACTACAGGCCTGGGCCAACTCCAGGCCTCCGGGTGTTTTGGACTTCAACTCCCACAATTCCTAACAGCCGGTAGGCTGTTAGGAATTGTGGGAGTTGAAGTCCAAAACACCCGGAGGCCTGGAGTTGGCTCTTGGGGCCTGGCTAGGCCTGACTAGGCCGCACTCCTTGCCCGCCGGTCTCTTACGTGCTTGAGGCATCGCTCCTTGAGGCGCTCCACGGCCGTGTCCTCGGGCACCTCCTCCAGCCACTCGGCGCCTTCCAGAGAGCAGATGCGGAGCCGCAGCAGCTTCGCCGCGAAGATCTTCTCCTCCTGGACGAACATCGCCGCCTCCGACGCCCGGCCCGCCGGCTGAGGGAAGGCAGGCAGGAAGGAAGGCCCCGCCGGAAGTGCCCGCAGCGCCTTCTGGGAGTCGTAGTCTTGGGCCGCCCGTACTGCAGGAAGTGACGTCTCACACTCGGAAGATCTGTCTATAGAGGTGGAGGTTTCATAGACTTGGAAAAGACCCTCAAACAACCGTAGGGGTAGAGTTCTTTTGTTAAGACCTAACACTTCCGTGTTCCCATTTGACTTGTTTTTTCCATAGACTTGGAAAAAAATATCCAAACAGATATTCTTTTGTTAAGATGTGACACTTCCGAGTTCCCATTCGATTTTTCATCCCATAGACTTGGAAAAGACAGCCAACCAGTCGTAGAGGTTCAGGTCTTTTGTTAAGTCATGACACTTCCGTGTTGCCATTCGACTTCTTTTTTTTTTATAGACTTGCAAAAGACCTCCAACCAGTCGTAGAGGTAAGGTCTTGTGTTAAGATATGACACTTCCGAGTTCCCATTCGACTTGTTTTTTCCATAGACTTGGAAAAGACAGCCACCCAGCCTTTGTAACAACAAGAAGAGGAGGAGTAACTCCAGTGGCCATCCAGTCCAGCCCACTTTATTCTGCCCTGAAGGAAAAGCACCATCAAAGCATTCCCAGCAGATGGCCGTCCAGCCTTTGTAATAATAATAATAATATGTACTAATCTTTTGTGTATCAAATAATAATTTTACTTACAGCATGTGTGTGTGTGCATATATATAATTATTATTTTGAATATTATTATTACAAGGTTCTTGTAGGTTTTTTCGGGCGATAGGGCCATGTTCTAGAGGCATTTCTCCTGACGTTTCGCCTGCATCTATGGCAAGCATCCTCGGAGGTAGTGAGGTCTCTTGGAAATAGGAAAATGGGTTTATATATCTGTGGAATGACTGGGGTGGGGCCAAGAGCTCTTCTCTGCTGAAGCTAGGTGTGAATGTTTCAGCTGACCACCTTCATTACTATTAATTACTATTATTAAATAATGATAATTATACTTAATTTAATTACAGTATGTGTATTTATGTATATATATATAATAACTATTATTATCACATTATCATAATTGTCATCAATACACACCCACGCACACATGGAAATCCGCCCAACCTTTGTAATAATAATAATATGTACTAATCGTCTGTGTATCAAATAATAACTTTAATACAGTATAAGCATTTCTACATATATATATAATTACTATTATGAATAATATTAATTTAATTACAGTATATGTGTGTATATACGTATATATAATTAGTATTAGTGGCTTTAATTATTTTTGTTTGCAATTTCAAAGCCTTCCAAAACTGTCTTGATGTTGCGACTGAGAGAGTGACACCTTGAGTGACCCTTCTGACACCCCCCTGTTGACCCCTCCCCTAGGGTCTTGACTTTCCAGGTTCAGAAAGGGACCCCTAAAGAAGGACAATGATATGTTGCATGTTCCAGTGTGTGTGTGTGTGTATATATATATATATGCATAATATATACCAGAGTGTTATTCTAATAATATAATTAGAATTCTATATTATATTATTAGAATTCTGTGCTATTTTAATAATATAATATAGTGTAATATAATATATTGCATATACATAAATTTATAATATTATAATGTAATGCAATATAATACTACTAATAATATATTATTATAATTATATATTTATATTACATGTAATATTACTAATAATATTACAATATAATGGTATAGTACAATATAGTAATATTTAATACTGATATTGCACTATGCTAATAATATAATATATTGTGTGCATATCTATCTTGTAAGCCACTTCGGGGTGAGAAGGGCGGCATATAAATGTCATAAATAAATAAATATATCAGCGATTACTACTAATAGAGGATGTGCATTCCCCATAAAAGTAGCCTGAGATTCCAATACTTAAAAAGGCTGCAATTCCAACTTGACTTGTTTGGATTTTCGTACCGGTCTGCAAAACACCCAAAAAGCGATACAATGTGGTTGTTGTGGTTGTTTTTTTAATTTTACTTTTTATTATTTTGTAAATGTGAATTTTACAAAGCAAAATTGTTCGAATGATCACATTACTTCGCTTTAGTCGGGATTTCTTGTTCATTACCTGGAAAGTCTTGGGAACAACAGGAAGGGATACGTCCTCAAAGTCTTATTTATCCCCTTATTTTTTGTATTTATTTTGGGTCGTCAATCGGAAAAATAACAGTCTCCACCGAATAGATGACAAAATGGCACAACGTATTGAACAAATAAGTCGCTTTGTGTGGCTGAAATCATTCCCTAAATACCACTGGAAGTATTGTTATTTCATTATTGTTATTGTTATTTTTTTTTTATTGTTATGATTATTATAATATTTAACAGTCATGAGTTACAGTAGTACTGGATATTTCAGGCATTAGAAACAACCTTCTTCCTCTGACAATCCAACCCTTTATTTGATTCAAGCGCAACCCAAAATTCAGATTAAAAATACGCATCCAATCAAACCCCCCCCCCTTTTTCAAATCACATTTTTGCTTCCTTCGACTCTGAAAAATAGTATTGCAAATTTCAAAGTCCCACTTCTTCATACATACAAAATTCACCCCAAAAAAAAGTGCAAAAAGGAGACGGCGGCGGTGGAAGAAACGGATTAGAAAGAAAGAGAAATAGACATAATAATAATAAGGAAATTCACTCAAGTGTTTCGGAAATGCAATAGATATATCCAACAGTCGCAGTTAAGAGCGACAAATCCGTTCCGGAAAAGTGGAAGCACGCTGGGCCCATAACTCTCGTCATGAAAGAAGCAAGATAAAGGCAGATAATTTATCTCAATTTCCTGACGCTTCAAAGGCAAAATCCTCCCAAATTTAGATTGCAAAGTTTGGATCAGATTCCGGAGCGGATCATCGGCCACACTGCTATGGAAAAGAACCAGCCGTTGCTGGGAATACAGTATTGTTACGTCCCACAATTCTCTCTCCCCTTTTGGTGCGAGAAATACATTTTTACAAAGCGGAAAGAGGACCCGATCCTTGTGCAAAATTAGATTGTTTTCGTATGCCTCCGCGTCATGCTTCTCCTTTGCGGTGAATGTCCACCCGTTTCCAAAAAGAGTTGCCAGGATGGAAAGTGAAGGCGGCTCTTGTACCTTTTTTTGTGACGCCTTGACAAACCTCTAGGAAATAGGATTTCTCTGCATACCTTTTAACCTGGTTTTGGGGAAAATCCAAGGAAAACGGGGCCTTTTGGGTGGAGGCTCCCAATTCAGCAACTCCCTTCCATAAGAGACCTGCCTGGTCCTGTCCTTGCGCTCTTTCTCAGAACGTTTACATATAAAATCAATTTGGGGAGAAATGAGAAGCCATGATTGAGTCTCGTTTTTAAGAGAAAGGCAGCCCAATTATCGAGTACAATTTTCAGAAATGTGGCTATTTTGGGGAGAAAGGAAGCCTATTATCACGCCTTATTATTGGGAAAAACATGGCCCATTTTGGGGAAAGGTGGCCCATCATTGCATCTTGTTTTGGGGAGAAAAGAGGTCCATGATCGAGTCCCAAAATCAAGAGAAAGACGGCCATTTTAAACTCCCATTTTGGGGAGAAAAGCAGCCAATCATTGAGTCCCTAATTTGGCAGAAAGGTGGCCCGTCGTCGCATCTTGTTTTGCGGAGAGAGGTGGCCCATTATCAAGTCTCATTTTTAGGAGAAAGCCGGCTCATTGATAAATCGTATTATTGGGAGAAAGGCGGCCCATCATCAAGTCCCAATATTGAAAGACGGACATTTTTTACTCCCATTTTGGGGGAAAGGCAGCCAATAATCAAGTCCCAATTTTCGGGAAAGGTGGCCCACTGTCGTGTCTCGTTTTGGGGAGACACGACAATTGAGTCCCATTTTTGGGAGAAAGTCAGTTCATTAATAAATCATATTATTGAACAAAGGGCAGCCCATTATCGACTCCCAATTTTGGCGAAAACCACTGTTGCGTCTCGTTTTGGAGAGAAAGGCGGGCCGTGACTGAGCCCCACTTTTGGGAGAAAGTTAGCTCATTAATAAAGCCTATTATTGGGGGAAAGGCGGAGCATTATTGAGTCCCCATTTTGGAAAAATGTGGCCCATTATCTAAGGAAATGCAGCCATTTTTTACTCCCATCTTGCGGGGAAGGTGGCCCATTGTTGCGTCTTGTTATGGGGAAAAAGGAGGCCCATGATCGAGTCCCATTTTTAGAAGAAAGCTCGTTAACAAATCACATTATTAAAAGAAGGGTAGTCCATTATCGAATCCCAATTTTTTTTTGGGGGGGGGGTCCATTGTTGCATCTTGTTTTGTGGAAAAAGTGGCCTGTTATTGTCCCATTTTCAGGAGAAAGTTAGCTCACTAATAAATCATATTATTGGGAGAAAGATAGTCCACTTTTGAGTCCCATATTCAAGAAAAACGTGACCCATTATTGAGTCCTAATATTGAGAGAAAGGCAGTCATTTTTTACTCCCAATTTGGGGAGAAAGACAGCCAATTACAGAGTCCCAATTTTGGGGGAAAGGTGGCACATCGTTGCATCTTGTTTTGGGGAGAAAGGCAACCCATGATCAAGTCACATTTTCAAATCACATTACTGAAAGAAGGGCAATCCATTATCAAGAAATAACATGCCTTAGGGGAGGGAATTTTGTCAAACACTGATAGCTATCCGTTTCCAACAGACTCAAAATCCCTGTTCGTTCACGCCAAAAGGTATAAGAGCCCTCTGCGGTTTCCAATTGGCGACCCTGGAGGGACGCACCACTGCCACAAATGTTGTGCGTCAAGAATAGCTCGGTTTCCCCATAAAGATGGACAAAGACGTTCAAATATTGCGACATGGCTGCCCCCACCGCTCATGGGGATTCATAGTTTCACAGTATGGCACCATCATTTACTTTGACCTCAAAGGTTGAGTTGAAACCATCGGCCGACACACCCATTTTGGCGAAGCATTGGGTGCCAAATGAAGGCAAAGCACTTTCCGAGAAATTTGGCTGCAATTCTGGTATTTTCCTCTTCAAAAGACAATTCCTCAATTTCTCGGAAACCGGGAAGCTGAGCACCAATCGACGGAAAGGAGTAGAAAGTCACAAAAGGCACGCCAGATGGCTTTTCGGCACCATTCCTCCACGAGGCCCATTTCAAGTCATTGTTTCGGGGTTGAAAAGAAAGGCCTTGAATGACCGAGAGATGAGGAAAAACATTTTCCTGCCATTTTCAGGACCAGACGCAACCGAATCTCCGGAATATGCAGACCTCGACATTCACAGGAGCTTTGAAGAGGGTTTGCTTTGGAAAGCAGGGCTTGGCGGTCAGATGAAAAATCGGGGAAAAGATTGGCCTGGGTTAAAAGAGAGACCAGAAAGGGTTCCCCAAGGTTTGCGTTGGTTTCAGAAGTCCGCAAAGGGCTGGATCGAAAGCAAATGTCTGTAAAGATGACATTGGCAAAAGAAACCAATCTCTCCACTCAACGGCATTCCTCATTTTGTGGTCGTCATCACAAAAAAGATTTCAAGACAAATGACTAGGAAACGGCACCCTCGTTCCCAGATGATTCCTTTCGATGGAACGGAAACAAATCGGCGACCCAGAAGGGACTGGTTTTCTCCAAACCTTTGGACGTTGGGACTACAGACCCCATCGTCCCCCAGTGCCAGGAAAGGAGACGTAGTCCAGCATCCCAGGAAGGTATATGGATTTTACAACAATGTTTTCAAGCCTTTTTATGGGCAAGACAAATTAAAAGGCTTAATGTTTCCTCCTTTAGCTCTGTAGATACTTTTAGAAGAACTGTCGGAGATTGATCTCCAAAGTGGAAGAAACGGCAAAAATATGGCTTTGCGTTGTCTCATCTTGGCAACGAGATCAGATTTCTGCAATTATCTCATGGTTTCAATGGGTTTTTTTCCCGTTCCAACTTTTGGTTTTGAGGAAACGCTCTATTCCCCCTTCTCTTCCCTTCCTGGAAAAATTGCACATGGATTATATTATAAAAGCAGCCTCTGGAAAATTCATGCTAAACTAGAAAGCAATGTTAGGTGGTGAAATAGGCAGCCTTTTTTGTTTTGCTTCTTCATTCCAGACGAAAAAAAGGAGCGGAAGGAGTCCAAAGTTCAGTTGCGACGAAAAGTCCATCCGGTTCGGGGGCTTCGCCGGGTTTTTTTTCCTTCTTCCCCTCTTCTTTGAAAAAGGTGCTTGATATAACTTTTTAAATATATATATAATATATATATATTTATATATATTTATATAATATACACATGTAATATTGCTAACAGTCAAGCATTAGGAATAAAGGTGCAGACATACCATAAATACTTATGCTTCTGGATTTTTTTCTTTTTTAGGTCTAAAAGGATGCCATTTCCATTCACATTAATGCATTATTACAGTCAGAAAGTAGCTCCCAGACTCTATATAGTGACATTATTTAACACTATTGTAAACAAAGGAGGAGAAATTTGGGGGCCTGGAGGGAGAGCGTTCGTCTACGGATCTTGATATTTTGAATATATATATTTTTATCTCTGTTTTCTCCTTGAGGGAAACAAGGCTAAGGCACTCGGAAAAGCCTGATAACGACGGGCTTCGCGCTCCCTTTACATTCTTAAAATTCGATTTCTCCCAAGGATTTGTGGGGTTTGTTTTCGGTTTCAAGACATTCTCCCTGCTTCGAAAAGATGCCGCAAAATCCCCCCCCCCCCCCCCCCGCAAATGAGGAGTATTGTGTGTTTGTTTGTGTGTTCAGTGCAAAATGCAAAACCCACCCCTGGAAGTTCGAAAAGAAAAACAAAACGCCCCAAAAACTATTCACATTTATCCACACGCACTTCCACCTCTCTCTCTCTCTCTCTCATTTTCCTCCTTTGAATGTACAAAAACGAGAAGGAAATAAACACGACCCCAACGAAAACGAACAATGAAATTGTGCTCGATACAAAAATACTTATTATTCTTTTGTGCAATGTGAGACTTATTCTGGAGCCTTTCAAGTATCAATCTGTGACTCTCTCTTCCTTCCCTTCTTTCCATGTCCCGCCAATTAAATCAATCCATCATCCTGGTTTCCAATTTCCGACACAAGCCAGGATTACAAATCAAGATTTGTCAACGGAGCAGCAAAACAGGATTCCTAGGCTGAAATGACAAACTCAAACCCTTGGGTTTCTGACAAAAGCCAGGGCTCGTTTCCAAATATTGGTTTATATATAAGCCAGGATTTCTAGGTTGAAGAAACAAGCATAGGATTTATAAGTTGCTTACCTGTAACTGTAGTTTCCTGAGTAGTCACCTGTGAATTCGTACATGCCCGCCCATCCTCCCCTCGAGTTCATGCCATGCCTTCTGGCTGCTTTGCAGCGGAAGAGAACTGTCGGCTGGCCCAGCCCATGGGCCATATATACTCGAGGGAGGTGGGCGGGGCTAGCTAGGATCTAAAATGTTATTTTATTTTCTAGAAGGTTCCGAAAGCTGTACTGCGCAGGCGCAAAGATACCAAATGTACAATTCACAGTGACTACGACAGGAAACCTGGTTTCCACACAAGCCAGGATTTGTAAACAGAATGGGAAACCAGGATTGTTAGATTGAAATGACAAGCACAGAATCTCAGTTTCTGACCAAAGCCAGGATCACACACCAGGGTTTGTTTCTGAATCCTCGTTTGTAAACGGAGCAGCAAAACAGGATTGCTATATTGAAATGACAAACTCAGAATCTTCATTTCCGACACAAGCTGAGATCACAAACCAGGGTTTGTAAACGGAGCAGCAAACCCGGATTCCTAGGCTGAAATGACAAACTCATAACCTTGCGTTTCTGGCACAAGCCAGGACCACAAACCAGGGTTTGTAAACAGAGGGACAAACCAGGATTATTAGGAAAAAAGACAAACCTAGAATCACGGTTTCCGACTCAAGACAAGATCACAAACTGGGGTTTGTAAATAGAGCAGCAAATCAGGCTTTCTAGGCTGAAATGCCAAGTGTGGATCCCATTTCTCAAGACAAATCAGGGCTCGTTTCCAAATCCTGGTTTGTAAACAAACCAGGATTGCCAAGTTGAAATGACAGACATGGAATCCTGGTTCCGACACAAGCCAGGACCACAAACCAGGGTTTGTAAACAGAGCGACAAACCAAGATTAGGTAAAAACGACAAACCTAGAATCCCAGTTTCCGACACAAGCTATGATCACAAACTGGGGTTTGTAAATGGAGCAGCAAATCAGGCTTTCTAGGCTGAAATGTCAAGTGTGGATCACAATTCCCAACACAAGCGAGGATCACAACCCATGGCTTGTAAACAGAGCGACAAATCAAGATAAAATGAAAAATCTAGAATCCCGGTTTCCAACACAAGCCAGGATCACAAACTAGGGTTTGTTTCCGAATCCTGTTTCGTAAACAGAGTAACAAACCAGGATTCCTTGGTTCGAATGACACTCTAAACCAAGCTTATAGGAATTGGTAATCCTTCCAAAAATGGGGCAAAAGGCAAGCAATGATCGTCGAAGGGAAAGGAAGAGAGGGCCGCCTTGGTGAGAAGGAGCTGTTGGGAAATGTGGCAAAATTCCTAATTTCCAAACGGCAACAATCCCTGTCTTGCCTGCTCTTAAACCATACATTGCTTTATCCATCTTACGCGCTTGTGAGGCCGGCTCTACAATCCATGAACCCAGAACCTGGGTTGAAGACGCTCAACTATCTATCCTGACCGGGGCAAAAAAAAGAATCAGAACAAAACATTTCTGTGAAAACCTCTCCAAAGCTGTCCATATATATAACTATATATTTGGTGTCCCTTCATGCCAATCCCATCACAACCTCCTCTGCCATATTCTCACATACCGGCTACCCATCCGTTCCCCTTTTTAAGAAGGCTTCTATTATCCAAGTTGGACTTCATCCGTCTCGGACACAGAGGCCAACGGAAAGATGACGTTCAACACTAACTCACAGAGCAACTCATTCCAATCCTTGACCTTTTCTGAAAGGAAGACATGGCAGAACTCCTCCATCGTTGGAACTCTGGCCATTGAGAGTTAATTGGGAACAATCAAAGCCCTATAATGCACTGTGAAGACCTCAAATGGGAAGTCAATATGGCTTCTATACTCCAAGTTGGACTTCATCCGTCTCGGACACAGAGGCCAACGGAGAGATGAAGCTCAACACCAACTCATAGAGCAACCCATTCCAATCCTTGACCTTTTCTGAAAGGAAGACATGGCAGAACTTCTCCATCATTGGAACTCTGGCCATTGAGGGTTAATTGGGACCCATCACAGCCCTATAATGCACTGAGAAGACCTCAAAGGGGGAGTCAATATGGTTGACGCACCCATTTCGGCCATATCATATTCAACCTACGGCGACTTGAGATATCTCAGATGAAGGGGGACAACCAACAGAAGGCCTAAAGGTCTCCATTCCCTTTCTATCCTGTCGTTTACCTTTTCCATTGTTCTGCAAAGGGAAACATAGCATATCTCCTCCATCCTTTAACTCTACCTGTCTAACCACTGAGGCTGATTGGGTTAAGGATGACATCCCAATTGGCCACAACCATGAAGACTTCAAAAATGGATGCCGTTGGCCGGTGCACCCCGAACTGCAAAACCCACGGCTCCAAGCAAAGCCATTTCCTATTCAGAAAGGAAGGAAACATGCCAAAATAGTGGTGACTTGAGAGATCTCCGACCAAGAAGGCCTAAGTCCTCTATTTCATACTTCGGTCGCCCGAAACGTGCCATTCAGAGTGCAATTCCACTTCAATAACAAGGCGCCAAATACATCATTTGACAATGACGGGCCCAGGTGACGAACTGTCCCCATATTGGGAAAAATGGGAATTCATAATCGTAACGATCGTCATAATTTCGGAATGTTCTGCTCGGCACTACACAACATACACACGCACGCACACACACAAGCGGAAGACCTTGGATATCGCTTTCGGTCCTGGAACCCTGCCAGCTTCGCCAAAATGAAAGCCAAAAGCGAAGGAAGAAAGCGGAAGGAAGAACGTGACGTTGAAAAGGAGGAAACCAAAATGAGGAAACGGAAAGGAAACGAAAGGCAATTCGGAAGACTCCCAAACTCCAAGCCAGGGATTTTTCTAGCTTGAGTATCCCTTATCTGAAAGCCTGGAGCTCCCAGTCGCACAAAGTGCCAGCAGGACTGCTGACCGTAAGGTCAGCGGTTCGAATCCGAGGAGCAGCTTTTTAAGCCAAAGAGCCAGCGTTGTCCACAGACGCCTCCATGGTCATGTGGCTGGCATGACAGCATGGAGCACCATTACCTTCCCACAAAAGCAGTACCTACTGATCTACTCACACTTGCATGTTTTCGAACTGCTAGGTTGGCAGAAGCTGGGGCTAACAGCTGGATCTCACCCTGATCCCCGGATTTGAACTGCTGACCTTTTGGTCAGCAAGTTCAGAAGCACAGCAGTTTAACCCACTGCACCTTTGGGGGCTCCAATGGATACTAAAGGCCAACTAGAGATACACACACACACACATATCCATGTACATACATATAGATAGGCAGATAGATAAACCTAAACATAAATACATTGATTTATGTAATTTTTAAAAATAATTTTGTGCATGAAACTATATTTTGTGTCGTATCAAAAAGCAAATAGGTGCCTTCATCTCAGCCACCGAAGTTTGGATAATTTCAGATAAGGGATACTTGGTTTATATTGTGGATACCAATGGTGTATCAACAATATATAGATCAGTGGTTCTCAACCTTGGGTCCCCAGATGTTTTTGGCCTACAACTCCCAGAAATCCCAGCCAGTTTACCAGCTGTTAGGATTTCGGGGAATTGTAGGCCAAAAACATCTAGGGACCTCAGGTTGAGAACCACTGATATAGATAGATTTGGGCCCTCCAGGTGTTTTGGACTCGCAAACCCCTCTGGCCATTTCCCAAGCCAAGGCAATTAACTAAACTCATTGTTCATGTGTTTGTATGCAGAGAGAGGGGATTTCCTGCCAGCCCAGATAAATCCAAAGCTGTTTATCTAGCTATATCAGGCATTGGCAAACTTAGACTCTCCCTCCAGGTGTTTTGGACTACAATTCCCACAATTCCTAACAGCCTCAAACCTGAGGCTGTTTGGAATTGTGGGACTTGGAGTTCAAAACACCTGCAGGGCCAAAGTTGGCCCATGCCTGAGATAGATGGATGTGTGTAGACAAAACAACCAACTGTACCTTTGTCCGCAAATTAAAACAAACCAAACAATGAAAATCCCCCAAAAGACGGCGTTTTGGCGCATTCTCGTTTCACCTTTTCCTCGTTCGTTCATTCCTCCCATTTGTCCCGTCTTGATACATTCGGATGGAAAACCTTCAGGGATGCGGAATAGCTCTTCTGGGATAGGAATGCTACCATCTTCTAGACTTTGACCTTGGGAATTATCATATATTTTTTTTAAAAAAGGAGCCCGGGATTATGTTTGCTCTCCTTAGACCTAGAGTCGCTTACAGTATTATCAGGACCGTGATATGTTGATTTTTGTTTTCCTTCATCGTTTTTTCTTTCTAAAGACAAGCAGAATAATAATAATAATTCTTTTTAAAAAATCACATTTTTGTTCAGGCAACAGTAGCAGTTCAGTAGGTCACGGGTTCGGTCACATTATTATTATCATTATCATTATTATTATTTCTCTGTTATTAATTAATAACGCATGCAAGCAGCTTTTTTTAGTATGATCGATCCCTCGTCGGCCGAGCCCCTTCCGTTCGTCCGAACTCAACGTCGTTCATAAAGTCCCGCCGTAAGCGCCGTCTTGTCGTCTCGCCGGGGTTTCCGGCCGGCTGCCGGGCCCCGATCCGGGTTCGAAAGGTGCCACCGCGGAGCTTTGGGCCTCCTCCTCCGAAGCTAGCGCTTCATCGCCGGTAGACTCTCGGAGGGCGGTGACGGGTTCGCCCTCGTCGCTCCCCTCGAACAGCGGGCCGGACCCGTTGCCCTGGTCGACGGTGACCGTGTTAGTTCTCAGTGCCACGATGGTCCCGGACTCGCCCCGCCTCTCGGCGTAGATGCGCTGTTCGAAGATCTGGGCGGTGGGCGGCTGGAAATCCGGGTCCAAGTGGAGACCATTGGCGGCAGCGGCGGCGGTGGCTCCCATGACGGAGCGGTAGACCTCCATGCCCTCCGGCAACATGGACTTGATCTTGGGCAGCCAGCGCTTGCGCACCCGGCGGGCGTTGGTACACATGTCGGCCGCGATGACATTCATCTCGCTCTCCTTGAAGCTCGGGGCGAAGTTCTGACAGTACACTGCCAAGGAAAGGGAGGACTTTGTTTAGTGTTCATTCAAGGACTCTCAAGTGGGGACTCGGGGTCCCTAGGACACCATAAGGCAGTGTTTCTCAACCTTCCTAATGCTGCGACCCCTTAATACAGTTCCTCATGTTATGGTGACCCCAAACTACTGTAACTACTTCACAGCTGTAATTTTGCTCCCGTTATGAATCATAATGGAAGAGAGAGGGGGCCAAGGGACAATTCCACCTTGTCTCCTGCATACGTCATCAGTTGGGGACCCCCTCCCCGCAGCACCAACTGCTGCTCTGGGCCAGAAAGAAGAGGGGGGGGGGCAGGAGGACAATTCCACCTTGTCTCCTGTGCTATGCTAATAATATAATATAATATAATATAATATAATATAATATAATATAATATAATATAATATAATATAATATAATACAATACAATATACTAGCTGTGCCCTGCCACGCGTTGCTGTGGCCTATAGTAAGAATTTTCGAAGTAGAGGTAGATATCTGAACTATTATGAAAGAGAGGTACGTACTTATTCCTTCCCCCTTTTTCTTCCCCTTTCTTCCTTCTCTCCTTTCTTCCTTCTTTCGCTCTTTGGTTTCATCCTTCCTTCTCTCTTTCCTTCCTTCCCTCCCCTTCTCTACTTCTTTGTCTCCTTTCTTCCCTCCCTGTTTCCTTCCTGCTTTCCCTTTTCATTTCCTTTTCTCCTTCCTTCCTTCTTTATCTCTTTCCTGCCTTTCCTTTCCGTTTTCTTTCCTATTTTCTCTTTTTCCTTCTTTCTGTACCTCTTTCCTTCCCTCCTTCCTTCTTTTCCTCCCTCCTTCTCTCTTTCCTTCCTCCCCCCTTTCCCTCCTTCATTCCTTCCCTTTTTCCCTCCCTCCTTTCTTCTTCCTTCCTTCCTGTCTGTTCTCCCCCAATACCATGGTAGAGTCCCTTCTAACTCTATTCTATGAGTCTATTTAATATAGTAATATATAGTAGCATTATATTATATAGTAGCATATATAAAAATAATATATATATGTATTATATAGAAATATATGTAATAGTAATATATGAAGTATTGTTATAGATATATGTGTGTGTGTGTGTGAATATATCACCAACCAGTGATCTGACATCCATCCATATATGTGTGTGTGTGCACGCGCGGGCTGCATCTGGCCACGGTGAGGGAGGGAGCTGGGTGCCTCTCGCTGTGCCAGTTCTATTTGTATGGCCGTGCCTGCGCACACGCTTAGCTCTCAGTGCTGTAATGGCCGCTATTCCCTTGTGTAGATTTTTGGAGTTACTGCTGTTTCCTTGGGGGTTTTTTTTTATGAGTGATGGCCACTCGTTGGCCTGAGAGGTGTCTTGTGTCCAAATTTGGTGTCAATTCACCCAGTGGTTTTTGAGCTATGTTAATCCCACAAACGAACATTACATTTTTATTTATATAGATTGTTAATGTTACCTCACTCTTTTCTTTTCAGTAGAAAATTAATTTCTTACTAATTAAAATTATTGAATTAATAATATTTATACATTATTTTATAAATATAGTTAATAATTAATAATTTTTTTATATTAGGATTATATAATTATAATTATATAAATTAATAAAATAAATATTTATATACATATTACAAAATTCATATCTCTTAAGGCAAACACATACAACAACCCAATGTAGCTAAATAGCAGTACATTATTTATTTAAATAATATTTATAGACTTTAAATTCCTGAGAATTTATTAAATTAATTATAAATTTTATTATTATTTAATAACTAAATATATATATAATTTTTATTCTATATTTGCTGTATCTGTTCTTACTTATCTAATTCCTAACTCCCTCTTTCGTATAAATCTTGGTAACGTAATTCGCTACATATTGTACGTCTTTAACTTTCCATTGGCATAAAGGTTATCCCTACCTATAAGAACCTGACCATGCTTTAAAGCTCAACCTACGGAGATCAAATCAGTAGGACGGCATTTCTAACCTTGGATGTTTATTCATTTCTTTCCCTTCTGGCTCTCTCTTTTCTTTCTTCTCTTTCCTTCTTTCCTTCTCTCCCTCTTTCTCAACATCTTCCCCCTTCCTTCGCTCCCTCTTTCCTTCCTTCTTTCCTTCCTTCTCTAACTTTCCTTCCTTCCCCCTTTTTTCCCCTCCCTCTTTCTCTCCTTTCTTCCTTCGCTATCTCTTTCCTTCCTTCTCTCTTTGCTTCAATGCTTCCTTCTCCCTTTCCTTCTTTCTTTCCCTCCCTATTTCTTTTCTTTCTTTCTTTTTCTCCCCTTCCCTCCCTCTTTCTTCTTTTTTCTGTATTGCCATTTAGCTTTTCATCATTTAGCTTTTAGGGGATTTTAAGTCCCTTCTGCTGTGTTTTTCAGTGTTTTTATGAGTGATGGTCACTCGTTGGCCTGATAGGTGTCTTGTGTCCAAATTTGGTGTCAATTCGCCCAGTGGTTTTTGAGTTATGTTAATCCCACAAACAAACATTACATTTTTATTTATATAGATACATATAATATTTATAATATTATAATGTAATACAATATCATACTAATAATATTATATTATAATTATATATTTTATTTTACATGTAATATTACCAATAATATTACCATATAATGGTATTGTACAATATATAATACTGATATTGTGCTATGCTAATAATATAATATATTGTATGTATATATATCTTGCAAGCCCTTTGGGGTGAGAAGGGGGGGCATATAAATGTTGCAAATAAATAAATAAATAAATAAATAAAGTACATATCTGATATGCAGGATGTATTTTCCTTCACTGGTCCAAACTTGGCACAAATAGTGCCCAATTTAATATATATAATATACAATTATATATATGCACACACACATACTTCTGCCCATTTTTTCACTTACGTTTCACAGCATTAAGGACCCGGCTGTCGAGAGGCTTCCGGCTGGGATCACTAGTGGAAGACCGGATTCCCGTTCCGCAGCTGTTGGCCAAAGTGTTCCTGTTTCCGGAAGAAGGAAGAATAGAACCGGAGGTCAGGAGCAGAGCAGCGGGAAAAGATACCCCACTCACCCCCTTCCCACTACCACAGCAATTGATAAGAAGACAAAGGCAAAAATTGAGGAGAAGAAGGATAAGGAGACAGTGGAGGAGGAGAAGAGGAGAAGAAAAAGAAGAAAGAGGAAGTGATGATGGAGGAGGAAGACGAGGAAGAGAAGGAGAAAAAGGAGAAGATGATGAAGGAGGAGAAGACGAAAAAGGAAGAGAAGGAGAAGAAATATAGATGGATAGACAAATGGATGGATGGATAAATAGATGAATGGATCGATAGTTAGATAGATGGATGATAGATACACAGATGGATGGAAAGATAGACAGAGAGATGGACTGATGAATGGACAGATAGATAGACAGACAGACAAATGGACGGACAAATAGAGGAATGGATGGATAGATAGATAGATGGATGAATAGATCAGACAGACAGACAGACGAGGAGGAAAAGAAAGAAGAGAAGGAGGAAAAAAGAAGATGATGATGAAGGAGGAGGAGAAGAAAAAGGAAGAGAAGCAGACACACAGATAGATGGATGGATTGATGAATGGATGGATAGATAGATAGATAGATGGATGAATAGATCAGACAGACAGACAGACGAGGAGGAAAAGAAAGAAGAGAAGGAGGAAAAAAGAAGAAGATGATGAAGGAGGAGGAGAAGAAAAAGGAAGAGAAGCAGACACACAGATAGATGGATGGATTGATGAATGGATAGATAGATAGATAGATAGATAGATAGATAGATAGATAGATAGATAGATAGGCAGGCAGGCAGGCAGGCAGGCAGACAAATGGAGAGATGGATAGAAGAATGGATGGATGGACAGATAGATAGACAAAGGCGGAGGAGGAGAAAGAGAAGAAGGAAGAGGAGGAGGAAAGAAGAGAAAGTGATGATGGAGAAGAGAAGGAGAAGACGAAGATGGAGAAGGAAGAGGAGGAAAATAACAAAGAAGAGAAGTTGAAGGAGAAAAAGATAACAATTGAGAGGAGGAGAAAGATGAGAAGAAAAAGGAGAAGATGACGATAAAGTAAGAGGAGGAAGAGGAGGAGGAGAAGGCATAGAAGCTGAAGGAGAAGAAGATGACAATTGAGGAGGAGGAAAAGAAAGAGAAGAAGAGAAGGTGATGGTGGAGGAGGAAGAGGAGGAGAAAAAGGAGAAGATGACAATGGTGAAGGAGAAGAAGAGAAGGTGAAGGAGTTCCAAAGATCCCACTGATGCCTTCCCTTCCTTCTCATTCCAGCGTGGCTCTGCCTCTTCCCTCCGTCATGTGCTTACCTGTCGAAGAAGGTAGCCAGGAGGCGCCGCAGGAGGACTTTGTGCTTGACTCCGGCGCACAGGTGGCAATTCATCAGCTGCCCTCGGGTAATGTAGACGCCCGAGCCTGGGAAGGGGGCAGAGAAGCGAGAAAGGCCAGGCTGCATCAAGAGGAGGAGGGAAGTATCTGGGTGGAGGGCTTGACAAGTGAAAGGGATTTGGGAGTCAAAGTTGAATGTGCGTCAAGAGTGTGATGGGGCAGCAAAAAAGGCCAATATGATCCTAGGCCACATAAACACGCACACACACAAACACACACACACATATATATCATACTAATGTTGGATATACATGAGTGAAACGATCTATTTACCTACCTATATATATGAAAGGGGTTTTAAGAGCCCACAAGCTGAATGTGAGTCAAGAGTGTGATGCAGCAGCAAAAAAGGCCAATACAATTCTAAGCCACATCAATACACACACAAACATATCATAGTAATATTGGTTATACATGAGTGAAACTATATCTATATATCTATATATATCTATACCTATCTATATAGATATCTATCTATATCTCTATCTATCTATCTATCTATCTCTACATCTACCTATATATATCTACCTATATATAGGTATTCTATAGGTATTCTATTCTATATATAGGTAAATCTATCTATCTACCTATATATATTGCACTCTATCTACTTATATATACATACCTATCTACCTATATATAGGTAAATCTATCTATCTACCTATATATATTCATTCATTCATTCATATATATATATATATATATATATATATATATATATATATATATATATATGAGAGAGAGAGAATGAATGTGATCTTAAGAGACCACAAGCTGAACCTGAGTTCAAGGATGTGATGCGGCAGCGAAAAAGGCCAATACGATCCTAGGATGCATCAATACAGATATACATATACAATATACACACACACACACGCGCACACACACACACATATAATACACCATCTACATAAGTGAAGCAATCTATATACATGAAAGGGATCTAGAGGTCTTAGTAGACCACAATCTGAACATGAGTTAAGACTGTGATGCGGCAGCAAAAAAGGCTACTACGATTCTAGGCTGCACCAATACAAATACAAATACATACATACATACATATATATATCTCATACTAATATTGGATATACATGAGTGTGAATGAAAGAGGTCTTAGGAGGCCACAAACAAGAGTGTGATGCGGCCAATACGATTGTAGGCTGCATCTCTCTCTCTCTCTCTCTCTCTCTCTCTAAATATATATACATCTATATCTAATATTGGATATACATGGGTGAATCTCTCTCTCTCTATATATATATATGTGTGTGTGTGTATGAAAGAGGTATTAGGAGATCACAACCTGAACGTGAGTAAAGAGTGTGATACAGCAGCGAAAAAGGCGAATACGATACTAATATTGGATATACATGAGTGCAGTGATATGAATGAACGGGATCTTAAGAGGCCATAAGCTGAACCTGAGTCAAGGGTGTGATGAGGCAGCGAAAAAGGCCAATACGATCCTAGACTGCATCTATCTATCTATCTATCTATCTATCTATCTATCTATCTATCTATCTAGATGATGGGAGTTGTAGTTCACCGTACCTGCCACGAGTTCAAGTTTCTCGCCAGGGTCACCCTCGGAGTAGAGCTTGGGGTGGCAGCGGTAGCCGATCTGGCTGATGAGGCTGGCTGGGAGGGCCACCAAGTCGCGGCGGATGAGGACGCAGGATCGGCTCTCCAAGGGCACCGGCTCCGGCTTCTCTGGAGGCCCTTTCGGGGAGAAAGGAAAACAAGACGTGAAATGACGTGTTGGGAGTATCGGCCATCCTGAACGGAGCAGGAGCCCGCAAGCGTGGGGCTGCAGCAACCAAGGCAGAGTACCATTGCAGCCTGCATTAATCGAAGCTTCGTTTCCAGGAGAAAGGAAGTAAACAATCCCGATATTCTGCAATGGGCCAAGTTGCATTTTAGGACCAACAGTTGGCCGTCTCTAGAAATACTAGAGTTGATCCTCTCTAGGAATCTGACCCAAGTCAACTTTATTTCAGGCTAAGCATACCAGAGCTGTGTTGAAGGACCTAGAGTTGGTCCTCTCTAGGAATTTGACCCAAGTCAACTCTATGGTAATTTCTGGAGAAGCATACCCTAGAACAGTGGTTCTCAACCTGCATGTCCCCAGGTGTTTTGGCCTACAACTTCCAGAAATCCCAGCCAGTTTACCAGCTGTTAAGATTTCTGGGAGTTGAAGGCCAAAAACATCTGGGGACCCCAGGTTGAGAACCACTGCCCTAGAATCACCTGGAATGCATACAAGACTTTGTCTTCTCTAGGAAGTTGCCCCAAGTCTATTCTCTGGTAGCTTTCAGGCAAGACCTAAAGTTAATCCTCTCTAGGAACTTGATCAAAGTCAACCATGGTGTCATTCAAGTGAAAAATATCACAGAGTTGCACCGGAAGGCCGAGAGGTGGTCTTCTCTAGGAACTTGACCCAAGTCACCTCTATGGTAATTTCAGGAGAAGCATACACTAGAATCACATGGAAGGCTTAAAACATACACTAGAATCACATGGAAGGCTTAAAACAGTTTGTCCTCTCTAGGAACTTGACCTCAAGTCACCTTTATGGTAGCTTTCAGGCCAACTACACAGAACAGAATTGCATTGGAAGTCCTAGAGCTGGTCCTCCTACTCTAGGAACTTGACCCAAGTCACCTCTATGGTAATTTCAGGAGAAGCTGACACTAGAATCACATGAAAGACTTAAAACAGTTTGTCCTCTCTAGGAACTTGACCCCAAGTCAACTCTATGGTAGCTTTCAGGCCAACACACATAATAGAATTGCATTGGAAGTCCTAGAGTTGGTCCTCCTACTCTAGGAATTTGGCCCAAGTCAACTCTGTGGTCACTTTCAGCATACCATAGAATTACTTGGAGGACCAAGAAAAATCCTAGAGATTTCCACTCTGGCTTTGTATAACCGTGGATAGGGGTTTAGTGAGTACTACATGGGATAGAAGGTTTGCTTTTTTCCTATCAATTGTCATATCTATCCTAGGACCGGGATTTATATGACAAAATGCATCCTCTCTAGGCATTTTCTTGGTCCTCCAACATGACTCTATGGACATAATGATAATAATAAATATTAAAAAATCATGATAATAAAAATCATAATAATGACATGATGATGATGATGATAATAATAATAATAAATATCCAATATTATTTATTTATTTGCCACATTTATACCTCGCCTTTCTCAATCCCGGAGGGGATTCAAGGCGGCTTTACATATAGGTAACTATTCAATAATAAGAGTAAAGATATAATGATAATAATACATATTAAAAGGTGATGATAATGGAGATAATAATAACATGATAATAATAATGATGATATAATGATGATGATAATAATACATATTAAATGATGATGATAGTGGTGATAATAACATTTATATGATAATAATAAATATGATAATAATATTAAATGATTATGATAGTGATGATAATAATAATATAATAAATATGGTAATAATGATAATATTAAATAATGATAATACATATTAAATTATGATAGTGATAATAATAATGACAAAATGATAATAAATATGATAATAATGATAGGATAATTATATTAAATAATGATGATAATGCATATTAAATGATAATAGTAATAAATAATAAATATGATAATGATATAATAATATTAAATAATAATACATATTAAATGATGATGACAGTGATGATAATAATGATATGATAATAAATATGTTAATAATCATGATAGAATGATAATTATATTAAATAATGATGATAATGCATATTAAATGATAATAGTAATATGTTAATAATAAATATGATAATGATATAATAATATTAAATAATGATAATAATACATATTAAATGATGATGACAGTGATGACAATAATAATATGATAATAAATATGGTAATAATGATAATATTAAATAATAATACATATTAAATTATGATAGTGATAATAATGATAAAATGATAATAAATATGATAATGATAGAATGATAATTATATTAAATGATGATAATGCATATTAAATGATGATAGTAATATGTTAATAATAAATATGATAATGATATAATAATAATATTAAATAATAAGAATACATATTAAATGATGATGACAGTGATGATAAGAATAAGAATGATATAATACTAATAAATATGATGATAATAATGAGGGTATCATTATTAAAATAATATAATTCATGCAAAAGATCTGAATTTATAAATATTAATAACCCACCCAACTCCCTGAGCATCTTTTCCCTAATTGGAAATACCTAGAAGTCCTTGGGGACATTAAACAGTTTTCTTTGAGGACTATAAGCCAAATAAATGGGGTAAATTCAGGCGGAAACATTCTCCATCACAGCCGCATTGCCAAGGAAAGCTGCCTCATCAGCAAAAATGCCTCCATTTGATTCTTTCGGCCCTTCCACAAGGCAAAGCGCTCGCACTCAGGCTTGCAACACAAACAGCACAAATGAGATAATATACAAGATGCAACCCTGTTTGTATTTTTCATATTGGTCAAGCCATGCCGCGATTCCTAGCTATGATTCTAACAGTGGAGCAAAATATTTGAGGCGTCAAATCAATGCAAACAGCCTGTCTGCGGCATTGGATTAAGGTTGTGCTTTCGCTGCAGAACAGGAACCCTCCCTTGTTTTGCCCCAGATAATCCCAAAAGAAAGAAGGAAGAAAAGAAAGAAGGACAATGGGAAAATGGGAACTCTGGCCCAAAGGAACAACCCCTGAGGACAAACAGCCCCTTGTTGTTGGTCTTCTCAAGTCGTAGTCCATTTTCGATCCCATGACTTTTGTAGGGTTTTCCTAGGGAATCTCCAGAGAGGCTTTTGCCAGTCTCCCCTCCAAGCGCCATCCATGCCTGACCCAGCTTAGCTTCCAAGGTATATAAAACGTATTTATACCCGTATACATCTACACAGATAGATATCTACACATAAATAGATACCCATAGCTGGATACCCATAAAATATATGTATACCCATATATATATGTGTGTGTGTGTGTGTGAATATCCATACATAGATACTAATACACACACACACACAAACACATTTTGGGGGAAATAGACAACGCGTGGCAGGGGACGGCTAGTATGTGTGTGTGTATATACACACACACACACACACACACACACTAATATATATATATATATATATATATACACACACACACACACACACACACACACACACACATACACACACACTAGCCGTCCCCTGCCACGCGTTGCTGTGACCCACATGGGGGTTCTGTGTGGGAGGTTTGGCCCAATTCTATCATTGGTGGGATCAGAATGCTCTGTGATTGTAGGTGAACTATAAATCACAGGAACTACAACTCCCAAATGTCAGGGTCTATTTCCCCCAAACTCCATCTGTGTTCATATTTGGGCATATGGAATATTCGTGCCAAGTTTGGTCCAGATCCATCATGGTTTGAGTCCACAGTGCTCTCTGGATGTAGGTGAACTACAACTCCTAAACTCAAGGTCAATGCCCACTAAACCCTTCTAGTGTTTCTGTTGGCCATGGGAGTTCTGTGTGCCAGGTTTGGTTCAATTCCATCATTGGTGGAGTTCAAAATGCTCTTGGATTGTAGGTGAACTATAAATCCCAGCAACTACAACTCCCAAATGACAAAATCATTTTTTTTGAGTGAAGGACATACATTGGGTTGTTAGGTGTCTTGTGTCCAAATTTGGTGTCAATTCGTCCAGTGGTTTTTGAGTTCTGTTAATCCCACAAACGAACATTACATTTTTATTTATATAGAGTAACTTATAACTTGTTCAAAGCCACACTAAAAAGTTTTGGCCATGGCAAGATTTCAATTACATATCCAGGGTTGGTTTTCTATCATTCTGTTTATTATGCCATTACAAGTCCCTCTTTTCTATCATTCTGGAGCTTGGAGTCCACATACGCGATACACAACAACCGACCGGCGGGAGCTGTGTAGGTGGAGCGGGGGGAGGAGAAAACGGCACATATACGGTACAGAGCAATGAGAGCACCGAGAACCGCACCATGCAAGAAGCTAAACGGATTATACACACATTTACAGACAGACACACACATGCTATTTATTTCTACTGAAGACAACATTCTACTAGGTTCTTGTGGGTTTTTTCGGGCTATAGGGCCATGTTCTAGAGGCATTTCTCCTGACGTTTCGCCTGCATCTATGGCAAGCATCCTCAGAGGTAGTGAGGTCTGTTGGAATTAGGACAATGGGTTTATATATCTGTGGAATGACCGGGTGGGGCAAAGAGCTCTTCTCTGCTGGAGCTAGGTGTGAATGTTTCAACTGACCACCTTCATTAGCATTTGAAGGCCTGGCTGAGCCTGGGAAAATCTTTTGTTGAGAGGAGTTAAGATGTGCCTGGTTGTTTCCTCTCTGCTGTTTTGCTGTTGTAATTTTAGAGTTTTTTTAAATACTGGTAGCCAGATTTTGTTCATTTTCATGGTCTCTTCCTTTCTGTTGAAATTGTCCACATGCTTGTGGATTTCAATGGCTTCTCTGTGTAGTCTAACATGGTGGTTGTTGGTGTGGTCCAGCATTTCTGTGTCCTCAAATAATATGCTGTGTCCAGGCTGGTTCATCAGCCCGAAAAAAACCCACAAGAACCTAGTGATTCCAGCCATGAAAGCCTTCGACAATATATTACTACTTATATTATCTATACAGACATATATGTAATGATAGTAATAACAGTATAATTACTTATAATAATAATAACAATAGTATTTTTATTTATAATAGTAATACTAGTATTACTATTACTAATAGTAATACTAGTATTACTATTACAAATAGTAATACTGTTATAAATAATAATATTAATATTATAAATAATAATATTGTTATTACTATTTGTGTTGGGCCTTATGGGCATACCACCCACTAATAATAATAGTATTAGTATTATTAATACCCCACTTTCCTCTTACGCCCAATCCAGGCAATGAGAGTTTGGGTTATCCAGGCACACCCCTGATGATAATAATAATAATAATAATAATAATAATAATAATAATAATAATAATAATAATATAAATACCCTACTTTCTTCTTATGCCTTGGGCCTTATGGGCATACCCCTGCTAATAATAATAGTAGAGGTATTATTAATATCCCACTTTCCTCTTATCCCTAATCGAGGTAGTGAGTGCTTGGGCCTTACGGATGTACCTCTGCTCTTAAAAATAATAGTATTATAATTAATACCCACTTTCCTCTTATATCTAATTGAGCTAGCAAGAGTTTGGGCCTTATGGACATACTTTCCACTAATAATAATAATAATAATAATAATAATAATAATAGTAGTAGTAGTAGTAGTATGAGTTGCTGTATGGTTGAGAAAAGGCGGGCTATAAATGCCGTAAATAAAATAATAAATAAATAGTACTGATACCCCACTTTCCTCTTATGCCTAATCAAAGTAGTGAGCGTTTGAGTTTTCTGGGTGCACCCCTATTAGTAATATGATTAATATCCGACTTATTAAGGTAGTGAGTGCTTGGACCTTACCGGCGTACCCGCCGCTGGCCTTGATATACATCTGCTGCCCGCCGTACTGCTCCTCGGCCATGGTGTCGTAGGCCTCGTCCTCCTCCTCGTCCTCCTCGTTGTGGTAGGACGTGGGGCTGTCGGTTGTGGGTAGGCTGCTGGCTCCAGGGCTGGTTCGCTCCCCTTGTGAGTACGGCCCTGCCGTGGGAGCCCCGGGCACGAGGGCAGCCAGGCCGGGCACCCCGTAATACGAGACCCGGGACAGCCTCAGGGGTCCCCCACCATCGGTGGCACCACTACCGCTTCCCCTTTTGGAGTGAAACTCCAGGTTTTCGTGCTTGACCCTGGCTAGAAGCGGGAGCGGGGCCGCAGCGGCGTACGAGGCAGCCTGCAGCGGGTTGCATGGGCTTTGGGGTTCGGAGCCGGGGTCCTCGGCGGTGGCGGTTTGGGAGTCACAGTGCGGGGAGCTGACCTTGAACATGAGGTCGGTGCCTTTCTCCACAATGTGCTGGATTTGGAGGAAGCCAGCCGTGTACATGACCACTAGCTGCTCACTGGCTGCCATGGTCAGCTTGCCCGTGTAGCAGAAGGAGAGGATCTGCTGGAAGCAGGCGGGCGGCACCGAGCCGGGCAGCTCAAAGGCGCTCTTGCTGTTGCCGCTGAAGAGGTCCCGGAAGTAGAGGCTGCTGGCCGCCAGGACGGCCCGGTGGGCCTTGAAGGCCTGGCCCTTGACCACGATGGAGACATCGCAGTAGAGGCCCAGCAGCCGCTGCTCGTTCAGGGAGCCCAGCACCGTGTTGCCGAAGTTGGGGATCTCGATGTGCAGAAGCTGCGACGACATGGCGCCCGGGGTGGAAGGCTCCTCACACGGTCACGGCAGAGGCAGCGGAGTCACAAGGAGGGCGCATCTGCAGAGAGGAAAGCGGCACAGGGTCAGACCGAGAACGGAAACACGAGAAGAGACATAGAATAATACAACCATAGAGCTGGAAGAGACCACATGGGCTATCCAGTCCAAACCCAATCTGCCATGCAGGAAAAGCACAATCAAAGTATCCCTGACAGATGGCCATCCAGCCATCATCATCATCATCATCACCATCACCACCACCATCATGGAGTTGGAAGAGACCACATGGACCATCTAGTCAAACCCCAATCTGCCATGTAGGAAAAGCACAAAATATCCCTGACAGATGGCCATCCAGCCATCATCATCATCATCATTCTCATCCTCACCACCACTACTATCAGAGAGCTGGAAGAGACTATATGGGCCATCTAGTCCAACCCCAATATGAATGCAGGAAAAGAACAATCAAAGCACCCCTGACAGATGGTATCCAGCCATCATCATCACAATCAAAGTATCCCAGATAGATGGCCATCCAGCCATCATCATCATCACCACCACCATCATCATAGAGTTGGAAGAGACCACATGGACCATGTAGTCAAACCCCAATCTGCCATGTAGGAAAAGCACAAAGTATCCCTGACAGATGGCCATCCAGCCATAACAACAACAACAACAACAACAACAACAATCATCATCATCATCATCATCATCATCATCACCATCATCATCACCATCACCACCACCACCACCATAGAGTTGGAAGACACCACATGGGCCATCTAGTCCAACCCCAATCTGTCATGCAAGAAAAGCACAATCAAAGTATCCCTGACAGATGGCCATCCAGCCATTAACATCGTCATAGCCGTCATCATAGTCGTCATCATCATCATCATCATATAGAGTTCATCATCATCATCATCATCATCATCATATAGAGTTGGAACACACCACATGGGCCATCTAGTCCAACCCCAATCTGCCATGAAATTAAAGCACAATCAAAGCATCCCTGACAGATGGCATCTAGCCATCATCATCATTACCATCATAGAGTTGGAAGAGACAACATGGGCCATCCAGTCCAACCCCAATCTGCCACGCAGGAAAAGCACAATCAAAGAATCCCTGACAGATAGCATCAAGCCATCATCATCATCACCACCACCATCATAGAGTTGGAAGAGATAACATGGGCCATCCAGTCCAGCCCCAATCTGCCATGCAGGAAAAGCACAATCAAAACGTCTTTGATGGATGGCATCAAGCCATCATCATCATCGTCACCACCACCACCACCACCACCATCATAGAGTTGGAAGAGACCACATGGGCCATTTAGTCCAACTCTCTGCCATGCAGGAAAAGCAAAATCAAAGTATCTCTGACAGATGGCCATCCAGCCACCATCGTCGTCATCACCACCACCATCATAGAGTTGGAAGAGACCACATGGGCCATCCAGTCCAACCCCAATATACCATACAGGAAATGCACGCTCAAAGTATCTCAGACAGATGGCCAATATACCCAAAGGTGAACACTGGGAAAGTTTGGGGAAAATAGACCTTGACATTTGGGAGTTGTAGTTGCTGGGATTTATAGTTCACCTACATCCAGAGAGAACTGTGGACTCAAAACAATGATAGATCTGGACCAAACTTTGCACGAATCCTCAATGTGCCCAAATGTGAGTACTGGTGGAGTTTGGGGAAAATAGACCTTGACATACGGGAGTTGTAGTTGCTGGGATGTATAGTTCACCTACAATCAAAGAACATCCTGAACCCCACCAACGATAGAATTGAGCCAAACTTCCCACACAGAACCCCAATGACTGATAGAAAATACTGTGTTTTCTGATGGTCTTTGGCGACCCCTCTGCCACCCCCTCACAATTCCCCCCTGGGGTCCCGACCTCCAGGTTGAGAAACATTGCATTATATCCAATAGGGACAAATATTCCCCTGACCCCAAAAGCAAGATGAAACACCCAAATTCTGAGGCAATAATTCACCGACCCCCAAAAAGTCCATAAACCAAAATGTAAATAATCCCCAAAGACTCGAAAATGGTAAGAAATGGGAGCCATTTCTTCCCCTAGGATTTAATATGGCAAGTTTTTGTGCCAGACTCCGAAGTTTTGAAATGTCTTGACACTGCAGTAGTTTGGCATCATATCATAAAGACGGAGGACGGAAAAGAGACAGGGATGCTTGGTTCCTATAGGGTCCTTACATGGCCCTTGGTGTTTGGGGTCTCCCAATTGGCATGGGATCCCGCCTGGCTGCAAAGGATTGCTTCTGTTTCCCGACGTTGCATCAAAACTGCAGCAAGAGCTATTTTGGGACCGTCTCGCAGCCATGAAGGGCATCCCCTAAAAAACAACCCACATTAAATCAGAAAAGCGAGGGAGCATCACAGCATGTTTTCCCCCCTTGGGGTACAATAGACAACCCCATCAACAGCCTGGAGATCTTATGGGGTTTCCTATTATGGGAGTTAATGAAGCTGGACTTCGGCACAAACCCCAAAGGATGCTTCCAAACTCCAAACGCAGCAGCAATAATAAGTCCGATTTAAACTAGGATCCAAATCAGGACTCATGTAAACTATGATTCCATGTGGCACTTATATTAAGTCTAATTTAAACTACAATCTCGACCGAGTCCAATGCAAACGACAATCCGAAGCACTACCTTTATAGTCCCATTTAAACGACAATCAAAACAAATGCCCATACTGAATCCTATTTATCTATCATCCTAATCACAGAGAGTCTGGTTGAAAGTAGGATCCAGTTTGGTACTAATATTGAGTCTCATTTTAATTACGATCCAAATCTGTACCAGTACTGAGTCCAATTGAAACCACAATCCAAACCAGAATCCCTGCTGAGTTCTATTTAACCCACAATCCAAACACCTCTATGGCGTCCAGTCGAAACTACAATCCACATCAGTAACTTTATTGAATCCAGTTTAAAGCACAATCCAAACTGGTTTCAAAACAGAGTCCTATACACATCCAGGATCCACATGAGAACCAATATCAAGTCCTAATAATAATAATAATAATAATAATAATAATAAATCAGGAATCCAAATTAGAACCAATATTTGAGTCCTATTTAAACCATCATCCAAATCAGCATCCAAATAGAGTTCGATTGAAACAACAACCAATACCCATATCGAATCCTATTGATCTATAATCCATATTGTGTCCAGTTTAAGATACAATCCAAATCAAGACCCACAAAGAGACCTATTTGCGATCCAAACAAGTCACAAAGAGTCTGACATAAATCAGGATCCAAATTACAACTGGTCTTAGTATTGAGTCGTATTTAAACTACGATCCAAATCAGTGCCCCAATTGAGTCCGATTGAAACGACAACCAATACCCATATTGAATCCTATTGATGTATAATCCACATTGAGTCCAGTTTAAGCTACAACCCACAGACACCTATTTGCGATCCAAAGAAGTCACAAAGAGTCCGACATAAATCAGGATCCAAATTAGAACTGGTCTTAGTATTGTGCACTATTTAAACTACAATCCAAATCAGCACCCCAATTGAGTCCGACTGAAACGACAACCAATACCCATATTGAATCCTATTGATGTATAATCCATATTGAGTCCAGTTTAAGCTATGACCCACAGACACCTATTTGCGATCCAAAGAAGTCACAAAGAGTCTGACATAAATCAGGATCCAAATTAGAACTGGTCTTAGTATTGAGTCCTATTTAAACTACGATCCAAATCAGTGCCCCGATTGAGTCCGACTGAAACGACAACCAATACCCATATTGAATCCTATTGATGTATAATCCATATTGAGTCCAGTTTAAGCTACGACCCACAGACACCTATTTGCGATCCAAAGAAGTCACAAAGAGTCCGACATAAATCAGGATCGAAATAGGAACTGGTCTTAGTATTGAGTCCTATTTAAACTACGATCCAAATCAGTGCTCCAATTGAGTCTGATTGAAACGACAACCAATACCAAACTATAATCCATATTGAGTCCAGTTTAAGCTACGATCCAAATCAAGACCCACAAAGAGACCTATTTGTGATCCAAACAAGAACTGGTCTTAGTATTGAGTCCTATTTAAACTATGATCCAAATCAGTGCCCCAATTGAGTCCGATTGAAACGACAACCAATACCCATACTGAATCCTATTGATCTATAATCCACATTGAGTCCAGTTTAAGCTACGACTCACAGAGAACCCTATTTGTGATCCAAAGAAGTCACAAAGAGTCCAACATAAATTAGGATCCAAATTAGAACTGGTCTTAGTATTTAGCCCTATTTAAACTATGATCCAAATCAGTGGCAAAATTGAGTCCGATTGAAATGACAACCAATACCAAACGATAATCCGGTTTAAGCTACGAGTCCGGTTTAAGCTACGATCCAAATCAAGACACACAGAGAGTCCTATTTGTGATCCAAAGAGGTCACAAAGAGTCCGACATAAATTAGGATTCAAATAAGAACTGGTCTTAGTATTGAGTTGTATTTAAACTACGATCCAAATCAGTGCCCCAATTGAGTCCGACTGAAATGACAACCAATACCCATATTGAATCAATAGATCAATAAATAGATCTATAATCCATATTGAGTCCAGTTTAAGGTACGATCCAACTCAAGATGCACAGAGAGTCCTATCTGCGATCCAAAGAAGTCACAAAGAGTCCGACATAAATCAGGATCCAAATTAAACTACGACTCACGCCGATGTCCCATTGGGTCGCATTAAACTACAACTCACGCCGAGGTCTCTTTGGGTCGCATTAAACTACAACTCACGCCGATGTCCCATTGGGTCGCATTAAAACCGCAAGCCAGACTGGTCCAAACGTGGAGTCCTATTTAATCCTGTATGGAGTGCAATTGGGAGTAGAAGAAAGCGAGAGAGAAGGGCCGCACAACGGGTTGTTGCCTGTGTTGCCTCTGCAATGCACAAAAAAAGCCCTGCAAATAAAATAAACACAAAACCCCTCCAAAAAAACTTCCTTCTTCCTCTCCGCCCCTCTTTGCAGGAACGTACCTTGAAATCCGTGTTTCCGTACGCTCTTCCCGGGGAAATTGCGCGTTTGCATGTGTGTGTGTGTGTTTGGTAATGATGACAATAATCATAACCAAAAGGCCAGCCTCCAGTGTGTGTGTGTATGTGTGTCTCTTTCTCTCTCTCTCTCCAAGTCAAATCTCGGCACAAAAGCATCTCCGGATGCCGTTCTTCTTCTCTCCAACACTCAAGCCATTCTCTGCAATGAATGGAGCCCTTTCATAGGGGAACTCAAAGCCAAGGCGAGTTCTTTTTTCAAGGGGGGAGGATAGGGAAAAAGAAAGAAAGAAAGAAAGAAAGAAAGAAAGAAAGAAAGAAAGAAGAAGGGAAAAGAGTCCGGTGCCGGAGATGTGGGTCCCAAAACAGACTTTTGATGAGTCACTGCAATGCAAACAAAGATGGCAGAAATACTGTACTGTATGCTGATGAAATGCCACTCCGGGGAAAGGAGAGAGAGAGATATATGTTTGGGGGGAAATTTATGGCGCAGCTTTGCATACGAATGGTCGTCGTCCTCCTCCTCCTCGCTGCGCCGCAAAGCCATCTAGGACATGCGGCGGCAGAGTGTCAAGGCATTTGAAGTATTCCAAACAGTCTGCAGAGCTGGCGCAGTTTGGGGTTGTTTTCACTCCTCCTGGGATGGAGAGGAGAGAGAAGCCAGGCACATAGGGGCACACACAGAGCCATATGGACTGGCCATGCACGGGTCTAAAAGGGGCACCCAAGCGTCATCTAGTCTATTCCATTATGCAGGAAGACACCATCTAAGCCAGTGGTTCTCAACCTTCCTAATGCCACGACCCCTTAATACGCTTCCTCATGTTATGGTGACCCCCAACCATAGAATTAGTTCCGTTGCTACTTCATAACTGTCATTTTGCTGCTGTTATGAATAGTAATGTAAATATCTGATATGCAGGATGTATTTTCATACACTGGACCAAATGTGGCACAAATACCCAATACACCCACATTTGAGTACTGGTGGGATTGGGGTAGGGTATTGATTTTGTCCTGTGGGAGTTGTAGTTGCTGGGATTAATAGTTCACCTACAATCAAATAGCATTCTGAACTCCACCAATGATAGAATTGAATCAAACTTGGCACACAGAACTCCCATGAGCAACAGAAAACACTGGAAGGGTTTGGTGGGCACTGACCTTGACTTTTGGGAGTTGTAGTTTACCTACATCCAGAGAGCACTGTGGACTCAAATAATGATGGATCTGGACCAAACGTGGCACAAATTCTCAATGTGTCCAAATGCAAACACTAGTGGAGTTTGGGGGAAACAGACATTGACATTGGGGAGTTGTAGTTCCTGGGATTTATAGTTCACCTAAAATCAAAGAGCATTCTGAACCCTACCAATGACTGAATTGGGCCAAACTTCCCACACAGAACCTCCATGACCAACGGAAAATACTGTGACCCCTCTGATACCCCCTCGCGACCCCTCCGACCCCCAGGTTGAGAAACACTGATCTAAGCCCTCCTAAACAGATGGTCATGAAATGGAGAGAAGCCAGGCACATAGAGGCACACACAGAGTGCTATGGACTAGCCATGCACGGGCCTAAAAGGGGCACCCAAGGGTCATCCAGTCTATTCTATTATGCAGGAAGACACCATCTAAGCCCTCGTGACAGATAGCCATGAAATGGAGAGGAGGGAGAAGCCAGGCATATAGAGGCACACACAGCGTGCCATGTACTAGCCATGCACTGTCCTAAAAGGGGCACCCAAGCATCAACTAGTCAGACTCTGAATCCTAGAATTGGAAGGGGCACCCAAGGGTCATCTAGTCTGTTCTATTATGCAGGAAGACACCATCTAAGCCCTTCTGACAGATGGCCATGAAATGGCCAATAGAGTAGACCCTATCAAGCTCTGAATCCTAGAATTGGAAGGGGCGCCCAAGGGTCATCCAATCTATTCTATTATGCAGGAAGACACCATTCAAGACCTCCTGACAGATAGCCATGAAATGGAGAGGAGAGAGAAGCCAGGCACATAGAGGCACACACGGAGTGCTATGGACTAGCCATGCACGGGCCTAAAAGGGGCACCCAAAGGGGCACCCAAGCATCATCTAGTCTGTTCTATTATGCAGGAAGACACCATCTAAGCCCTCCTGACAGATGGCCATGAAACCCCCAACAGAGTAGATTCCACCAGACTCTGAATCCTAGAATTGGGGCACCCAAGGGTCATCTAGTCTGTTCTATTATGCAGGAAGACACAATCTAAGCCAGTGGTTCTCAACCTGGGGTCCCCAGATGTTTTTGGCCTACAATTCCCAGAAATCCTAACAACTGGTAAACTGGCTGGGATTTCTGGGAGTTGTAGGCCAAAAACATCTGGGGACCCAAGGCTGAGAACCACTGATCTAAGCCCTCCTGACAGATGGCCATGAAACCACCAACAGAGCAGATCCCATCAGACTCTGAATCCTAGATTTGGAAGGGGCACCCAAGGGTCATCCAATCTATTCTATTATGCAGGAAGACACCATTCAAGCCCTCTTGACAGATGGCCATGAAATGGAGAGGAGAGAGAAGGCAGGCACATAGGGGCACACACAGAGTGCTATGTACTGGCCATGCACGGTCCTAAATGGGGCAATCAAAGGGGCACCCAAACATCATATAGTCTATTCCATTATGCAGGAAGACACCATCTAAGCCCTCCTGACAGGTGGCCATGAAACCCCCAACTGAGCAGATCCCGTCAGATTCTGAATCCTAGAATTGGAAGGGGCACCCAAGCGTCATCTAGTCTATTCTATTATGCAGGAAGACACCATCCGATCTCTCCTGACAGATGGCCATTGAGTCTCTATTTAAAGACAAAGAGTTGGAAGCAAAGGACAAAGGTAATCCAGTCCAACTATACTCTGCAGGAAGGCTCAATCCAAGCCCTCTTGACAGATGGCCATGCAATCACAGAGACCCCAAAGTCTAACCGGACGTTGACTTGCATCGCAGCAGAGGACCGAGAGATTCCTAGAGAGATCCTTTCCCATTGAATCCACCAAAAGTACTGGAGGTCTTTGGAGGGATTTATAGGAGTTGTAGTTCACCTACATGCCGAGCGCACTATGGACCAACACAGTGATGGGAGTTGGATCACTCTTGGCATGTAGACCCGATTTGATTACTAGCGGGTTGGGTTTGGGGGCAACTGACCTTCCTTTCTGGGAGTTGTAGTTTACCCACAACCAGGGAAACGGTGACCTTCGCTGATGATGGACCTGGACAAATTTGGCACACAGAAACCCCAAGACTAACTCAACCTACTGGAGGGGTTTGAGGGGACTGACTCGCCATAATGGGAGTTGTAGTTTACCTTGCAACCAGAGAGCACACTGAACCCCAAAGATGATGCATCCAAAGCAAATTTGCTCAACATAACAAACTTTAAGGACTGATGGAGCTTTTTGCGGTTGACCTGGCATGGTGTGAGTTGTAGTTCACCCACAACCTTACGCATTCTGTACAATTAAAAAAAATGACTTTTTCAAATAACTCGTACCCATGCTAGCAATAATAATAATAATCGTCATCACCATAACCTGAATTTTGTGTCTTCATCCAGTGATAAAAGAAGGATATAAATGTAATAATAATAATAATAGACAATGCCCAAGCAGCTTTGAGTCTAGATACAGAGTGATACAAATATTATAACAACAACAACAAACACAACAAATACCCATGAGTAGTGTGGTTTCTCGAAACAGAGATAAAGTGGTTTATAAATGTAATAATAACAATAATAATAATAATACACAGCCTGAGTTGCACTGGGTCTCGATCAAGAGATAACAACAACAACAACAACAATAGTAAAAGTTGCTTTGGGTCTCAATCAAGAGAGAAAGGTGGGCCTATAAATCATCATCATCATCATCATCATCATCATCATTATCATCATTGCCTGAGTTGCTTTGAGCCTTGATCCAGAGATAAAAGCAGGATATAAATGTAATAATATTAATAGACATATCCCAAGCAGCTTTGAGTCTGGACTTAGAGTGATACAAATATAATAACAACACAACAACACATAGCCTTGAGTAGTGTGGTTCCTCGAAACAGAGATGAAGTGGTTTATAAATGTAATAATAATAATAGGCATCGCCTGAGCAGCTCTGAGTCTGGATTCAGAGTGATATAAATACTACAACAACACAACAACAACAACAACACATAGCCTTGAGTTTTGTGGTTTCTTGAAACCAAAAGTGGTTTATAAATGTAATAAAAATAAGAACAATACACAGCCTGTGCTGCTTTGGGTCTCGATCAAGAGATGATGTTAACAACAACAACAACAACAAATAACCTTGAGTAGTGTGGTTTCTTGAAATAGTGATAAAGTGGTTTACAAATGTAATAATAGTAATAATACACACAGCCTGAGTTGCATTGGGTCTCGATCAAGAGATGATGGTAACAACAACAACAACAACAAATAACTTTGAGTAGTGTGGTTTCCCGAAATAGTGATAAAGTGGTTTACAAATGTAATAATAATAGTAATAATAAGAATAAGAATAATACACACAGTCTGAGTTGCATTGGGTCTCAATCAAGAGATGATGATAACAACAACAAAAACAACAACAAATAACCTTGAGTAGTGTGGTTTCTTGAAATAGTGATAAAGTGGTTTACAAATGTAATAATGGTAACAATAATAATACACACAGCCTGAGTTGTATTGAGTCTCGATCAAGATATAAGAATAATAGTAACAACAACAACAAATAACCTGATTAGTGTGGTTTCTCGAAATACTGATAAAGTGGTTTACAAACGTAATAATAGTAATAATAATAATAATAATAATAATACACACAGCCTAAGTTGCATTGGGTCTCGACCAAGAGATAATAATAATAATAATAATAGTAACAACAACAACAACAAATAACCTTGAGTAGTGTGGTTTCCCAAAATAGTGATAAAGTGGGTTACAAATGTAATAACAGTAATAATAACAATAATAATAATAATAATAATAATACAGCCTGAGTTGCACTGGATCTCGAATAATAATAATAATAATAACAACAACAACAACAACAAATAACCTTGAGTAGTGTGGTTTCTCGAAATAGTGATAAAGTGGTTTGCAAATGTAATAACAGTAATAATAGCAATAATAATAATAATAATACAGCCTGAGTTGCATTGGATCTCGAATAATAATAATAATAATAATAATAATAATAATAATAATAATAATTCAACACTATCTGGAGAGAACAATCACCTCCCAGAAACCCGTTTTGCCCACCAATAATTCCTCTCCAAACGCTCCCCAAATCCACAATCTTTGAACACTGGCATAAAATGGCAACAAAACCCACACTAAAGTTGAGTTTGAACCAGAGTATTAATATGCCGAACGAATGTTGAGAAACAAGGGCAAAAAGGAAGCAAGAAATAACAGGCCGAGCAGGTAAACAATGCATCTTAATATATACAATTTCTATTTCTATTTAAAAGTTAAAGGGCCTCAAGAGATCAGCAAAAATAAAATCCCCTTTGGGAGCAGAAATCGGTTTGCGTGCCATTTGCAGGAGGGAATCCCAGCACAGGAATATATATATTTATATTTCTAG